GTGACCAATTTGAACCTTATTCCTATAATATATTTGATATGAATAGCATTCGATCCACTTGCTTCAAGGGGTACGGTAGCATAGATTTGATCCGTGCTATGAATATTAGGAATTCTAATTCGGATTATAAATAGAATATTTGTGCATGAAAGTGTATAATTTAGTGTTGAGTTTGAAATTAAATTGACTCTATTTATATTTTTAAGAGTCTAAATCAAGTTTATGATGTTTAGGATATAATTTGACCGTGATTTGAAATTCATATATTAAAAACAATAAAAATATAATAATTTAATGTGATGTAAATATTGGTTAACGGCTGTGAGGGAGGAAGCACTTTCAGACACTTGACAGGTTGGCAATTTATGATGATTCAATTATGTTGATTAGTATTGTGGAATATGAATTAACGATGATAAGATACTCTGCATATCAATATCAGTGTACAATCTGTCTCCGGATTACATCGCACTACATATTAATAGTGGAGCTGCCTACTAATCTTTATTCTTTAATATATAATTAAAATGTACTCATAATCATCAGTTTTTATTCCATAATATTAATTACATGTTTTATAATTATAAATTATGTGGAGGTCCAACTTCAACAATGGACGGGTGAGTATGGGGCAGCTGCCCTCCTCCCCCACCTTACCTCACCTCATCTCTTATATATAGGGGATCCTTATGTGTGTGTATATATATATATATATATATATATATATATATATATATATATATTACTCAAAGATAAAGTGCTTAGATGGTTAAGTATGTATGTATTGTACTAGAGGTCAAGAGGCTTGAATCTATTCTCTCTACTTGGGAATTAATTAATTCTTTTTTCAAAATATCTCATTTATTTTAATCTTTTGCTCCCACCCCTCCATTGGATGAAATTTCTGACTCCGCCTCTGACTTAGCTGATAAAATATTTGGGTGATGCCTGAGGATCCACTATGGCACTCAAATCTAATAAAACTAAGGGATCCGAGTCCAATCCTATCGGTACCCAACGGATAAGGAGATGCATGCTCACAATCTGTATTGAACATTTGAAACAATACAATCATCTCATTATCTTAAAGACTATCGGCAACCTTTACAGCAATGACAAGTAGAATATCAATGAAGAAAACTCTGTTGTCCTCCCATCAACTAGTGAGATATTTGAGTACTAAATTGGTAAATGTTAATTTCTTGTATAAATTTATGAATCGGTTTAATTTTTATGATGTATTTGAAATTATGACATAGAAAATATAGTAATGATATAATTACATTGACATATATGGCAGAATGAACATGTGGGACTGAGCATAGGAACAATGCTGGTACATTAAGAAAGCAATACAAGTAATGAAGGGTTGATGAATGCCAAAGGTCATTCGAGATTTTTATGGCTAAGTATCTAAGGGACAAACCACGTGAGTTTGTTGTTGTTGTTGTTTTTTTCCCCATAATTTTAACCTTTTTTTTCTGGTAATTTATGAGTGTTTTTTCAGGTTTGGAGGATACCTTATTGTCGTCTATGATATATTGATATCCTTTTTTTTTTTTTAATAAAAAAAAAGTTATTTATTTATTTTTTATTACGTTGTTGAAATCAGAGTGGCAGAAGAGTGGTGTGCTTTACTGTGGTACGATTTGTTGAGAAGCGAAGGGACGGTTGAAATTAAAGAAGGCGAGGACGTGGGGCCGACAGCAGGCGTTGTCAATGTGATCCTTTGGTACTTGGTGGGCCCACATGGCAATAATGGCCAGCCCGCAATCTTCCCCATCCCCATGAATGGAGGGCTCTCAATGGCTGTGGGGCCCAAAAACCTTTCCAAATATGAATATCTACCCGCTTAGCCCCCAATGCCTAGAAACGGACCCCCATTTCCAATAGGAGCAGTATGGCAGTTCAAGGGCAAATGATGCCCTGGAAACGTGTTCACCGAGAATGGTGAACACAAAGTCAAACGACGTCGTTTTTAGGCAAAAAAAATAATAATAATTCGCGAATGTGGAGTTAACGGCGCGCGTTGATCAAACTATGAATTTTCATAAAATTCATAATCTCATAACAGAAAATTCATAATCGCATAACAGAAAATTCATAATCTCATAACAGAAAATTCATAATCTCATAATTGAAAATTCATAATCTTATAACAGAAAATTCATAATCTCATGGTTCCAAAGTGAATGTGTAGGCATGGTTCCAAAGTGAATGTGCAGGCATGGATTCATAATTTATGAATGTCCGTGATTTCGGACGGGAATGTGTAGGCATGCTTCCAAAGTGAATGTGCAGGCATGAATTCATAATTTATGAATGTCCAAAATCATTGTTCACCTCAAATTAAAGTGAAACCGCAAAATGTGAAAATGAAGAAAAAAAGCCACGCAATTAATTAAGAAAAACAAAAAAAGATAACGGTGTACTAACACCGTTGGAACCGTGTTCACCATGGTTCCATGGCATAACATTGGTTGGACCTCGTTGCAAGTCAATTGCAGCATAATTCTTTGATCACTTGAATTGAAATTCCTTCATTTTGAAAAATTATAGTTCATATCAGAAAAATATTTTAGTTTTTATATCACTTCTTTCATTTTCATTCTTAACAATTCTATTCATCATATCTCTACCAAACAATGTAATTTAAATTCATACTTTATTCCACCTTATTCTTTTTTTTTCACCGAATTACAATTCTTTTCTCTCATAATTCATTCCTTCCAACCAAACGCCATAAAATATCAACCGAGTTGTTGAATTAGACCGCGGTAGCTAAAAAAGAAGAGTTAAATTCAAAAGTAATTACTATCACTGATAACACACTGAAACACGTAGTAATGTTTATCACAATACCTTGCCCATAGGGCGATAGAAGACATTAATAAGATGATGAAAATGATATGTGCCATTGTCGTCTGGATACTGAGGGATGCACTTAGTATGTGATTAGTTTGGATATTTCGCAATTTTAAACATAAATCAAATGAAAGGCTCCAAGATTTTTGTTGTTGATGTCCTCTCCAATTGTCCGCGATTTTGACGGATCAACTCAGCCACGTGATGTTCGCGTTCCTCAGCGATTATTGGCCGCACACATGTCACTTTGTTTTTGGACATTTTTTTCCTCCGGTTTACATTTTCCATTAGGCTATCCCTAACGGCTCGTTTGGTTTGCTGGAAAATATTTGAAGGGAAATGGAATTGAAATTCCATGGTTTTAACTAGTTTGTATGCTCATGTGGAGGAGAGAGAGTGAAGAGAGAAGAGATGAGATTCTCCTCTAAATATTGAATTTTTGATAATAAAGTGAGCCCGCCGTGAGGAGAAGATATGCGCCTCACGGTTGTGAAGCGCAACTCTCGCCTAGTTGGGCACATAAATTTGGAATTTTTTTATTTTTTTTGGTTTTTTCAAATTTTTTTCGCCTCTTTCATCTTCTCTTCTGTGGTTACTTACAAAAACTCCTCAAAAACACTCAACTATTGAGGATGCCCTTAGAACAGTATTGATTTTTTACTTACTTTAATTCTCTCTCATATCTAATTTTTTATTTATATTTATTCTGCGTATAATATGAGATAATTCAGTGTTATGACTGAGTAAGATTGCAACGATTATAAAGCTTTCAAGTAGTTATGGCACATGGCACACCTAATTTCACACTTATTTATTTTTTGTTCAAAGTAAACATGCTTGTTTTTCTTCTTCCCTTATCCAATTTTTCATCAAACGCTATAATATATAGAGACAAACATCATATTTTCTCTCAATCGTAACTATCAAAAGACTTAATTGATTAACAACCGCAAGTTTTATTGACTTGTGATTATATATTTCATTGACTTTCATCTCTGTAGATTGAATGTGATTGCACCAAAGAAATGTACATACCATTAGTTTAGTGTGCAGTATGCACTTGAAGTGGCGCAAGAGAGGCCAAATTAGGCCGAGTATGTGAAATGGACACGTTGATATTTGAGTTTGATGGGGACCCGGCGGCCTGGAAAATGTTAGCAGGCAGGCAAAATTCAACATTTAGAGCTCCAAGATTCAGCCCGAATGGCCGGGACCACTGCACAAAGAGATAACGATGAATGCACCATGCTTCATCAGCTAAGATAGATATACAGAGGCAGTACATGGTACACAGTTGTCTATTCAGTATTCAGAAATCCCGTGGGTGTACACAAGTTTCTGATCTCCTGTGTCTTCACTATACACTCGGCCCTTAATTGGTTGCAATTCTCAACTCATAAGTCATAAGCCTAGACACCATAAAGCCCAAGCTACAAACTTAGACAATTCGCTACATCTACAACAAGCCTTCTAGAGAAAAATGGGCAAATTATACCATAAACTAGGAGCGTCCAAAAATAACTTTTAAATTCTGTACCAGTACCTGGTTCCGTACCTGCAGTTAATCATTTATGCACATATACACAAATTGAAGGCACATCATATAGTATTAGACACATAAAATGATAACTACAGACACAAACTGTGGCTGCAATTTGCAGATACAAAATATGTTAATTGCAAACACATAACATGTTTAACCAACATCTTATGTGTTTGCAATTAACATATATTTTGTACATACAATTAACAATGTGTATAATTACAATGTTATGTGTCTTATATTTGTTTACAATTACAAAAATTATTAACTGGAAGTACAAACTGTGTTACTGCAGACGCATAATTTTTGAATGTCATGCAAAAACAAAGGGCTATACACAAATTATCAGAATGAATCTGAATTTAATCCACGATAGAGGCATAGGATGTTATATGCAAATACCAGATGCTACTACAATGCACACCAGTATCAGGAGAAAACATAAGGTTTAGGCTTCTATTTCATAAGATTTTTTAATAAATAAACTGATAAAACGTATTATTTACCACCAATAGCATTCAATATACTAGACACATGACTGAATAAAAGGTGTAAAACAAGTCCTGTAGGAGACCCATAAAATTCAGATGAATAAGACCATTTTCACGAACCGAATTCTGATTCAAACATAGCTATAGAGAGATAAATAAGTCTAACATTAAAACAAAACCAATGCTCAAAGCCTCAAATTAACATCATTCAAGTACCATTGCCAAGTTATCATGCACTGTAATACTAAATCAAAACACAACACTTAATGTATGCTATATAAGCTCCCATTAAGTTTGATAAAACTCAGGTATTGGTAGCTCTGGTGTAGATCTGTTGGCTGGCATGTGCTGACACCATCCTAATCAACCCTCTAGCCATCAATTCCCTGATTGCCCTTCTAGCAAGGGATCCGCTGATCTGTAAGGCCAGGAAAGATCATACAAACAAATATCAATACTTATATCACTTTCTAATTACAAAGATTGCATCCAAAATATATAGCAAGCCCTTGTGATAGTCTATTGGAAATAAGATTTAAAATGAGAAAACAACAGACTTTGTGATACCAATTATCCATGAGATAAGATGATACAAATTATTACCCAGGATTCCAGGGCATGCCAAAGCTTAAATGCAAGCATGGTCCAAGAAACAATACTACTACTAGCATTTCAGTTTACAAGGCAAATGGGGATGAATCACAATCAATTCTGAAGTATAATGACAATTACATGAACCAAAGTCATATGAATTAGTTCTGCAGGATAATTACAATAATTTTCCGTGGATTTTTCCAGATAGCAACATCATAAACCAGCAATAACAGTATAACTTTCCCATAAATGGTTGAAATTGAGCATAACATCACAAGACAGCTAAATCATTACCACATAATATGTACAAGACACTCAACATTGTTGCTATAATCAATGGCTTCAAAAAGTGAAAAGTGAAATGGAAAAGAAGCAGATGTACAAGTGCATACCCTCAAACGATCGGAGAGGACAGAAGGGGTAATAAGCTTGTATTTAGGTGCTTCAGTGAGAAGCTTGTCGTAGGTGGCCTTATCAAAGAGAACCATGTTGTTCACCTTCTCCTTTTGCTTTCCCTTGCTCCACTTCTGCAAATTCACAAAATTCAAACACGTAAACATCAACTTAATATTCTAAAGCATTTATTTAACAATGAGCGCCAAAAAAAAACCACGAAACCTTCTTCTTCTGCTTGCCGCCACCGGACTTGGCGGGCTTGGAAGACGGAGGTGGAGCCTTGTCCTTCTTCGGAGCCTACAACCACAACAAACCTGCCGTTAAAGTTCTGCAATCGTATATACATAAACATGTATACCATTACACTGGGGGGAAACGGCGGCGAAGCATACCATTCTGGTTGTTCGGAGGGTGGACGCGCGGCGTAACTGCTGCTGATAAACGAACTTCTGAACCTATGCAAGCAGAGGGTCTAGGGTTTTCTTTTGCAACACCATATAAAGCTACCTACGAGGAACGCTGGGCCGAACTTCCGGCCAAATAAAAAAGATCTAGCTTTTTGGGCCTTAAAATTGTACTAGTATCATGGCTCAATTTCAGAGAACTATTGAATGTTGAAGGCCCTATGGGCTTGCCCACTCACCAAGTTTCTAGCAGTTATAGTATGCAATAGTTATGCTATGCAACCGAATGTACCATGCGCATGGTGCATACGATGCAAAACGATGTCGTTTTGACTAAAAACGCACGTCTCACTTAAAAAAAAAATAAATTCAGGCTCGATTCTCGGCAATAGCATTATTGTGGATATTTAGTTATGAATTTCTGGATATATAGTTATAAATTTGTGGATATATAGTTATGAATTTATGGATATTTAGTTCATTCACTGTAGATATTTACTTCATTCATTCACTGTGGATGTATAGTTATGAATTTATGGATATATAGTTATGAATTTCTGGATATATAGTTATGAATTTATGGATATTTAGTTCAATCATTGTGGATATTTAGTTCATTCATTGTGGATATTTAGTTCATTCATTCATTCATTGTGGATTTTTACTTCATTCATTCACTGTGGATATATAGTTATGAATTTGTGGATATATAAAAATTCTATTGCCGGGAATCGAACCTGATTTCTTCTTTAAGTGGGACGCGCATTTTTTTTTAAAACCAAAACGGCGCCGTTTTGCAACCGTATGCACCTTGCAAGGTGCATTCGGTTGCACAGCATAATGTGCGTATAGTATGTACCTGGGCCAACCTTACAAGATAGACTCGGGTCCAAAATATACAATTTTCATATTGAATGTTCATAATTTGAATTATGAACATTTAGTATGTAAAATTGTAAATATTCAGTATGCAAATTGTGTATTTTAAGACCTAGGTCCACAGAATAATTTATCTCAAGTTTCGGACAACACTATTTCTTGTTTTTATGAGGATTAAAAAAAAAATTGATAACCAGCTTGGTTGCCGTGAGTGGCCGTGCACTCTCATCCCTTAAGAGAGGTCGAGAGTTCGAACCCCACTTCGTATGAAAAACCAATATGGTCAACACTTTGTCCCTTGGTCCTGTGCTTTGGAGGGAAGGAAAAAAATTCCATGCACAATCAATGCACGTGCATCTAGGCGTGTTATTGTGTTACAATCTATAAGGAAGATTTCATTCCAACGACATTTGACTCTGCCTACGAAGTTACCGTGTATCTAGGCGTGTTATTGTGTTACAATCTATAAGGAATATTTTAGGCGTGTTATTGTGTTACAATCTATAAAGAAGATTTTAAGCGTGTTATTGTGTTACAATCTATAAGGAAGATTTTAGGCGTGTTATTGTGTTATAATCTATAAGGAAGATTTCATTCCAACGACATTTGACTCTGTCTAAGAAGTTACCATGATTTACATCCTCTCAAATACTCTATCAAGTCATGTGTGAGGAACCTTTTGGAAGAAGATTTAATTCCAAAAGATTTAATTCAATAAATGCAAAAATCCTTCAAATTTAAGTATTATGCCACAATCTCTCAAATGATGCTACTATCATTGTTCACTCCTTGAAAAGTTGACATTTGTGATGGTCCACTGGATACATCACACTCTATATTTTTTCTAAGAACCCAACCCCAAAACAAATAGCCCAATCCAAAAGATTAGTTCAATAGCTAGGTAGTAAAAAACAAAACAAAAACAAAAAACTCAAATTTAAGATTGTCACTGCCAATCCTTGAAAAGGTTAGAATTGGGTTCGAGGGAACAGTGGGCGATAATGCGGATGCCAAAATTCCAGCATCATATCCATCCTACATGTAATTATGAATGATATATCTTTTTTATCCAATACATACCATGACTCATAAGTTAATTAAAACGCAACAGACCTGCGAAAGATTCTCTCTGTTTGTTTCCTAAGTGGTGAGGAATACCAAAAGCAATTATTCTTCATGAAGAAGCATGCAGTCCCAGAAACATAAACTTTTAGGTTAAGTAAATACACATTTTATTTTATTTTTTTTTTAAAAAGTATTATATATTATATAAGCTGGCGCACACCATTTCTCATCTCATATTTAATATTTATTATTGTGACATGTTAATCTTAAATTTTGTATTTATGGGACATAAGTGATAGAAGTTAGATTTTTGTTTTAAAATAATATTTTTTATGAAAACGAGGGTCTAATTGATAATTTAAATTAAGGACAGTGCAATTGAATATTACAATAATAAAAACTTATTTTTTATTATTGTAATATTCAATTGCACTGTCCTTAATTTAAATTATCAATTAGACCCTCGTTTTCATAAAAAATATTATTTTAAAACAAAAATCTAACTTCTATCACTTATGTCCCATAAATACAAAATTTAAGATTAACATGTCACAATAATAAATATTAAAGTATTCTAAACTAGTAAAATAGTAGAGTTAGATTATACTCCGGACTATTTAGTAAGTTATTGCTGATGTGGCGTTGACTAGGCTAACATGTAGTGTTTTGGTGCTTACTTGAATCATAATATTATTTTTATTTTGTTTTTCTTGTTTTTTTACAACCACGGCGTTGACTAGGCTAACATGTAGTGTTTTGGTGCTTACTTGAATCATAATATTATTTTTATTTTGTTTTTCTTGTTTTTTTACAACCACGACAACCGGTAATTACTTTTAAAATATTGTACTCTTAAGAATCATGTAAACATTCGAATATCACATGTTAACATAGTTAATGTGACATTAACAATAGGTATGTAAAATCCAATTACACGATTTTTTTAAAAAAAAGATATAAGGTGTTTTATTAGAGTTTTTCAAACCATTAATTACACTGTTTGTTGGGCATCGTGGTGCAATTTGACATGTTTTGCTACTTGTATTATTTTATTTTGTTTACAAAATAATTTATTTAGTAACTAATAGAAGCAAATTAAGGGAATATATAGAAAAGTGTCATCCAGCTCAAAATGCTTGTATTCCAGCATATTATATCTATCCAATCTTACGTACTCACGTTACTTATGTCACATTTCAGAATAATAATCATACAATAATAATAGAAATAATTCAGGGAATATATTTCATTTCTTTTATTTATTATTTATTTTGTATCTGATTTGGCCATTTGGGGGAAGCACATAGAATTTGTACCCCTCGTGTCATCGAACATCCACGCCTGCAAAAGAGTTTCAATATTTTTTTTAAAGAACTTTTTATTGTTCCATTACTATTTTAATTAACTAACCAACTAGGTTGTCGTTAGTTGAGGTATATATCCTTATCTTCTTATAAGCTTTTTCTTTTAGAAGAGTGAAACGTGGAATTAAATTGTATGATTTATCTTACTTCTATATATATATATATATATATATACACGTGGAATTAAATTAAGACCATAAAAGTATGATTTATCTTCCTTCTATATATATATTTTGAAGGATTGCACCGCGTCTACATAATTGCATCGCAACTGCTCCTAGACATGCCTGGAGGATCTTGCGATGCAATCGTGTCCAGTGCAGTGCAATCATTTAGTAGTTGCAGTGCAATCCTTCAGTAGTTCGCATGCTCACACGTTAAGACCAGTTCGCACCTTAACATGACCATAGACACACACACACACACACACATACTAATATTTTATATCCATGATGCGCAAAAATATATATCTGATATTAATACTCAATGTTAAAACTAAAAATCTTAACTATATTAAAATATATTTTTAAAATAATAGTTTTTTTTTTAATTTATAGTTGTTGAGTAATAATTATGATATGATTAATATTATTAATATAAGAATTTTAAATATGATAAATTATTAAATATAATTACGGTAACATTATTTTAATTAAATGAAATCAAACTTATTTCTTATATTACTTCAATATATAATGTCTACATGACTACATACACTATTGATTATTAATATTGAAGAATATAAGAAAGGATATTGAGTATACATGTGCATGATAATAATAATGGGGAAAAAATAACGGAAGTTATAACGGTAATGATATTTTTGTCTAAAAAATTGTATAATACAACTCTTATAACATTGTAAGATTATAGTTCAATGAACATTTTAATTACTCTGAACAAGAATAAAGGTCACGAACCACTTTATGTGCTCGACAAAACTTTCGTCAATGAAATATATACTTTGAAGTCAAAATAATTGAAATCCGTCCATACAATTTGTGAATTTGATGGGTTGTTGCATTGCAATATGCATTTGTTTTCCCTACATGCCTCTAGTAATTGAAGCAATTGGGGAATATTCTTCATTAGGAGTACAATAATTCACTGAATGAATTCCCTTTTTGATGTGGACTAATGATTTTTAGGCTGTATAAGATATTTACAAATATCAACAAAATCTTGGTGACTAGATTGACATTCAAACATGTTACATGTTGTGTGTGGTTAAAGTTACGACTTTATCATCAGTTTGAACAAATCAATTATGAACAATTTAAGTTAATTTAGCTCTAATCTTTTTGTTGGTTAAAATCACAATATAAAAGGGTCAAATAGGCCCCTAAACTTTTTAAAGGTACAATTATACCCATCAACAATTCATTTAGGTGCAATGAAACCCAAAAACAAGTGAATGACCTGCTATCACAGGTCATTAAGGTTTAGGCCACCTTCCGGCGAAATTTCCGATAAAAAAAAAAAAAAAAAAAAAGTGAATGGCGAAATTTCTGGCAAAAAAGTTGCCGGTCACTTTTTTTTTTTTTACCGGAAGGTAGCCTGAACCCTAATGACCTATGATAGCAGGTCATTAATTTGTTTTTGGGCTTCATTGCACCTAAATAAATTGTTAATGGGTGTAATTGCACCTTTAAAAAGTTTAAGAGTCTAATTGACTTTTAAACTAAAGTTCGAAAGTCTATTTGATTCTTTTTCCTAAATTTTATCTAAAGCATACTTTCAGATATCAGCTACAAATTTTTTGTAAACTAAAAATTATGCATATAATTTTTTTTTTTTAAATAATGGTGGATAGTACGACATGGGCTGCAAAAGGATTTTACAGATGGAGGAAAAATCTATAAAGTTGGCATAAAGGAAATGGGTCTGTGGTAGTGTCTTACTGTCTTAGTTGGTAAGTAAACCCATTCAAATATGTATTTCATGCAAGCTTGACGCGTGGACAAACTAACATATCAGCCGTTACAGTTAAATCAAACTGTCGAGTCAGTTGGTTCCCTCATCCACCACCTATGCAGCAATGTTGTCCTCATCTCCCAGATTTAACTCAATAGTTCAATAGATAATATTTACGAGAAAAGATTAAAGTTCAAACCTCAATAGTGATAGTGTGGAGATTATGTCTAAAGTAAGTAGATTCTTTGTACACACCGACATTTGACACTTTCTGCTGAATCATTGAGTCACTGTACTTCACATCCTCCCAAATACTCTGTCGAGTCAAAGTGTGAAAGGCCTTGAGATTGGAGATTCAATCTTTTGAGAGAAGTTGTCCTCATCCTCACTATTGTATGATTTAACAGACTACTGCCATGATTTTACATACAAAATCAATCTGAAATTCAAATTCTCAATGTTCATGTACATAAGAAATCAATTTGAAATTTAAATTCTCAATTTTCGTTTGTTTGAAGTTAACTGATTCAAATATTATAATATATGAATCGGAACCAATTCATGCAAATTACACTTGAACCAATCCACATATTCATTTGATTTACATTTTTTTTTTGGTGGTGTGATTTACATTGTTATTTCTGGATTATAATAACAATAATAATACAAGAATCAGGAAAGTACTTTACTGCTAAGTAAATATAGTAGTATATAAAAAGTAGGAGTATTCTAGACTTAAGCGAAATGTGGACAAATCGCTCCTAAATAAAGTGCACCGGTGAAAAAAAAAAAAAGATTCTCATTTAAATCTTGCCCACCTTGCAATAGAAAAATGATTATATAGGGGTGTTACTGTGTTAGCGAACAGAACTTTCAGTAAATTATTTGTATTTGTGTTCAGTAAGCGTTCATTTATGTTCGTTTATTAAGGTAAACGGACATTAATAAACAAAATTTAGAGCTCGATTTATAAACAAATAGAGTCTGAACAGTTATAAACTCATTTGCTAAGAGATCGTGAACAAACTCGTTTGTGTTAGTTTAATAATGTTCGCGAACAAGCTCGCTTAGTGTTCGTTTATAATGTTCGTGACCAAGATCGTTTGTGTTCATTTAATATCTGTTTGTATTCTCTTTATAATTATGTTACTTGTTATGTTCATATGTTTGGTTATTAAGCATTCACAAACGTTTTTATGAACGTGAACGAACACGTTCGTGAACCTGTTCGCGAACGTTAACAAACACTAATAAACACTTAACAAACGAACACGAACATGACTTTCAAAAATCTTAACAAAAGACACGAACACTCTAAAAACCTTAACAAACAAACACAAACAACCTCTGTTCGTTTATGTTCGATTCACGAACACTCTAAATATCTTAACAAATGAACAACAAACAACCTCTGTTCGTTTATGTTCGATTCATTAACCGCCCTAAGATTATATAAGCCTAAAGGGTTTAACCATTATTACTTAGAAATAAGAGGGTATAAGTGAAATTAATGGAGAAGATGTATTTTTAATTGTTATATATATGGAGCAGGGCATCCCCCATTCCAAAGCAAAATCTAAAGTCAATCTCACAAACCCACAAAGGGGCCATTATCTGTCTCTCTTCCTCTCTGTTTCCTTCCATCACTTTTCCCTGCTTGTCTTCTTCTCTTTATCATGGTTTCTGAAATTCAAAGCTTCTTAATGTTAAGAGAAATGGATCTAACCATAGTTCACTCTTTCGAGTGAGAAACCTACGCGCTCTTTTCATCATTTCAAGTTCAAACGATCAAACTTCACCTTAATCTGAAATATAATTCTTCTGGGAATTGGAAAAAGAAAAAATGGATCTGTACAACTTTCAGAACATCAAAGCCGAGAAGGCGAAAGCGATTCTGAGGTACCGGATGATGCAGAAGGTCACAATTGTGTTCCGTTTCGTGGAATTCTGCATCTTCCTGATCGTATTCTCCAGATTTTCCGTCCACTTGCCTCCGGCTTTCAAGCTCTCCGGAGATTACTTCAGGGGACTCTCTGTCGCCCTAATCAGTCCCTGGTTCGTGTTCATAGTCGGAAACGCCATAGTCATCATCTTGTTCCTCAAATCGGGGCGTTCTTCCGGGAACAACGGTCCGACGGACGACGGAAAAGCCGACTTGTACGATGAGTACGTGAAGAAATGTGCCAAGGATCAAAGTTTCCAGGAGGATAATGGAAGGATCGAGAAACAGAGGAAACAGACGAGGGTTTGTGTGTCAGGGGAAGAAGTTACTCCACACAGTAGCTGTACATATCAGTCGAAGAAAAGGAAAATTAATAGGAGCCAATCGGAGAGCTGGAGCGTGCAGCGCCGGGAAGAGCCTAGCAAGGACTTGAAGCGGTCGGTGACGGTGCCTTGCCGGAAAAGTGAGGAGAAAGCGGCGGAGACCGACGAAATGAGCAGCGAAGAGTTTAGGCGAACGGTGGAGGCTTTCATTGCTCGACAACAGAGGGCTTTAAGGGAAGAAGAATTTTCAGTTTTTGTTCCATGTGAAAATAGTTATCATACTTTGAATCTTTAGATCTTAAGAGTTAAGGGTTTGGACTAATGTACAATCTTTAGCCTCTTCCCATGGATTTGTACAGTTTTAAATGATGGATATCAATTTCTAGTTCTCTCCATCTTTCTTGATATTTTGAATTTTTTCTTTAGTTCTTTGGTATCTGTTTTTACATTCCAGATGGTTGGGAAGAGGTCACTAAAGGTTACATTCAACACCATGTGATTGAAAGATTATTGGACGGAGATTAGTAAAGGTCAAATCAAACACCTTTGTTCTCAAAAATGTGTGACTGAATAAAGAAATAGAGTTGCACATTTGTTAATAGTGATAAGCGTTTGATCTTAACAAGTGATAAAAGAGAAAATTGTTGGATGAAGGTAACAAGTGATAAAAGAGAAAATTGTTGGACGAATGTGGTAAAAGAGGAAATTGTTGGATGAAGGCCGATAAAAACCAAGTTTAGTACCCTGGCTCTTGAAAATGTAACCGTTTAAGAAAATAAAGTTAGGTCTTTACTACTCACTATAACTTTTGATGTAGTGGTAAACCTTGATCCTAACATAGACTCATCAATCTTATCAATCTAGCCTTATTCAGATTAACTCTCAATAACGTCATTGCAAGTCTCAAAATTTTCAATTTTCAATCAACTTTCTTAAAAACAAACAACTAGATAGTTTAAATATCTTTATAAGAAAAGAATATCTTTATAAATAAGACCAAATCATGTAATTGTATCGACCAAAAATAAGTTACAAACACTATCAACACGGAAATTCAACACATGAAGACCAAGTTGTAAATATTACAGTGAGAATTTAAACTTTGATTAGTTAGAATTTAACATTTATAAAATATCTTAGATTTAAAATTTATAAAAAAAAAAAAAAAAAAAAAAAAAAAAAAAAAAGTGAGTTCATGCATTAACAAATTATCTGGCAAGTTCATAATCTATTGGATATTCTGGGCATTGTTGGGGATAAAATTAGATAAAGAATATGTGTAGTAGAATAAATGGGTTGTAAAACTAATAAATGAGATGCTTTGATTCCAGATCATTAAATTCTGAGCTTGAAGGTAAATCTGGAGAAGATGAAGAAGATCAAGTTCCCTGAGGAATCAGCATCTCAATATTTTCATGTCTCAATTTTTTCCTATTCATGTTTATTCTTGTTATTTTTTTCAAGCAAAGGAATCTCAGTGGTGACTGACAATGATCTTCCATTTTCAAACCAACGTGGCAGGATCACTTTTAAGCATAAGTGACAAATGGTGGGACTTTACTTGTTAAAGAGTGTTGGAAAACTTACATGCCATTTATGCATACCTAATGTTTAATCCACCCTAATTGATTACAACTTTGTGTCAAGCAAGTCAAATAAGAGCCAATATTCAGAAATCAAGAGCGCCAATATTCTGTCAATAAATATGGAAGAGCAAGCTATGGAATTCTAAGGAGATTTGTAATGTATAAAACAACTAGCAGTAGCAAAAAAAAAGGGAGAGCTATTAAATTGTTCTAAGTACTCCATGAAAGAATTTCTCTGAGTGTGAAGTCAACAGAGAGAAAATGAGAGAACAGAGGTTATAGACACTTGCCTCAAGATAAGGAGTATAACATCTTGCAGGGAAGAGAGGCTGCAAGTCGTTTCACCCCAATAGAGAACACAGAACTTCATACTGCCATCTTCATTTCTATTTTATGGTGAGGGTCATAGCCAATGAGCTTAAAATCAGAAGCAACAAAGGAATCTATGTCCTTCTTTTCCCGATTGATCTTCAGTATCTACATGAATTTAATCAATACATCAAACCCCTTTCTAAGGAGAAGAGGAAAAAGAAAACTAGAACGGCAGAAGAATTTAAGATTTTTCTTACTGGGAATGGCCTAGGTGACTTCTGAAGCTGGTCCTGCAGAGGCCTGACATGAGTTCTGTAGACATGAGCATCGCCAATGACATGAACAAAGTCACCAGGAACAAGGCCTGTTAAAGTTAAAGAGAGCATCATGAGGTAACACGACAAAAACCATATACATCATAAGATTTCTGGTATCATACCTGAAACATGGGCAATCATGCATGTCAATAATGAGTAAGATGCAATGTTAAATGGCACCCCAAGACCCATATCTGCAGAGCGTTGATACATTTGACAGGATAGCTCACCATTAGCTACAAAAAACTGAAGAAAGGAAAATGAGTGCACATTTAAGGGCATAGATGATTAGAAATTTGTTTAGAACTGGGGAGTACAATCTATGTTACTAACTTGTGCAAACATGTGACAAGGAGGAAGTGCCATCAATTTGAGATCAGAGGGATTCCAAGCAGAAAGAATGATACGCCTATCATTTGGGTTGTTCCTGATCTTGTTGATAACATCCAACAATTGGTCGAATCCCTGGCCAGTGTAATCAGCATGCATGTCCGTGTAGCTGTACATTGCAAGGCCATAAGCCATGTCACTGCTGAATCTTCACAGCAACTATAGGTCGAAGTCTCAAACAAGTAAAATAAAACAAACCTAGCACCGAAGTGTCTCCACTGAAATCCATATATAGGTCCTAAGTCACCATCATCCCTGTCCACCAAACCAATACTGAAATTGGAAACACACAATGTATCAGCTATTATTTCATTAAAAACATATTTATTGCAAGTATATAAGGAGCAAAGTACCTATCAAGGTAGTCTCTTGATGCATTTCCATCCCAGATATGAATGCCCTTCTCTTGAAGAAGCTACAAAGTTTACTAAGTTAGTTACATGGATGGACTTCATTGAGGAGATCAGCCGGCAAAGGGAACACTCCATCAAAATAAAGCATATATATCATGCAAAGAGGAGAACTAAATTATTACCTTAGCATTTGTTGAGCCACTGATGAACCACAAAAGTTCTTCAACAACACCCCTCCAAAATACTTTCTGCAACTCCAGTAAAGAACTAGACATGTTATTTGAATCTTTGATTTAGAAAATTTACAGAATAGCTCCAATTGCAGAATTAACAAGTTAGAGTTGGAGGAAAATGAACCAAGGACACTAAGCTAAGAAGTGAAATTTAGAACATACCTTTGTTGTAAGAAGTGGAAAAGACTTCCGCAAATTGAAACGCATCTGCAGATATAATGAAAAAACACATAAAAAATGACAATAAATTATCAAATTAGGTGCACTTGCTGCATCTTTGTTTTTTTTTTTTTAAGCATTAAGCAATACTCTATATTATAAAAGTCTAATTACCTGGCAACCAAATTTTGATAAAGTACCAGTTCCAGTCCTGTCCTCCTTTGAGGCTCCATTTTCAATAATCTCCTCAACCAGTTTTAGGTACATGTGTTCCTCGTGTTTCTTAAAAATCATCTTAGGCAAGAATGAGAATGTTTTAAATTCAAACTTATTGAGATCTAAGCCATTGTCAGGAGTTGCATCATTGTTCTGGATAGGAAGGTCTGCACTGGAATTCCGCACACGAACATAAGTGGTAAAAGAGTATTGAAGCTTGTTTTCAACCAAAGGAAATGAAGTGCACCAGGGCTGAAATACATGTGTATCAATTGCAGGGATAAAAGTATCGCATTCAACATCTGTCTCGATTTCAGTGATATGAATGGCTTCACATTCATTGGCATTAAGGGCCTCCCTGATATATATATTGGATAATCATAATAGTATTAAACAAATGACATTTTATTAGGGAGAAAAAAAAAAAAAAAAAAAAAAAAAAGATAAAAGTTAAACGCCAACCTGAAAAGCTCACCACCTCCTATAACAAAGACTTTCTCAATTGATAAACAATAAGGAGAAGCTGCCAACATTTGCAGGGCCAAACTTAAACTCCTGCATATCACAACATTCTCAGCAGCGGCAACACCAAAACTCTCAGAACGAGTAAGAACAATATTGAGGCGGCCAGGAAGAGGGCGATATTGAAGAGGGATACTCTCCCAAGTCTTTCTACCCATTATGACAGCATTCTTTTTCCCAGAATCAGACGTAGTCACAGTAACCTCCTTGAAGAACTTCAAATCTGATGGCAATTTCCAAGGTAATTTCCCGCCTTTGCCAATACCCAAACTGCGAGTCGCAGCTACAACAATTTGGTAGGCCCTTTGCGGGTCGGGCATGCGGGTCTCTGGCTGAGCATTACTGATACCATTGGAATCACCAGCCATGACTGAGTGAGAGGCCATTTGAAGCCCTAGAGATAAACAGTTGGGATTAAGCTCACACGGCCATCTTTGGGCGATGCACAAAGAAGCCTGAAATTAGCAAAACATAAACGAGTATGAAACATGGACAGCCATAGCCCATAGGTCTAGATACATGAATCATGATAGAATTTCAGTTAAAATTGGGGGGAAATGAAAAATCCACCGAAAATAAGAACAGTGCGAAATGAATACAAACGAATCGAAGTAAGGAATTACCGATCGGCGAGCGAAGCGCAGAATAAACGAAATTTTGATCGGCGTCGACTTTCAGTTGCTCTATGCAATGCAAGGTAACTCAGTTTCCAAACCAAAATGGAATGATTTGGGCGCGGAGTGCCGCCAAGTCTCCATTTGTTGTGCGAAATTTAAAAATATCTTCTTTTAAAAAAATAAAAATAAAATCTAATTTTGGCCTGACATGTACATATAAGATATACATATATACATACGGTATACGTTAAACATTTTAATGCAAAACTGAGTTAGTCATATAGTTGGGTTGATAATTGTAATATTTAAAGTTTGAAAATTTACTTTCTTGTAGTTATTTGTTGATTAGGTTATTGATGCAGTAAATATTTTTAAATATACAGATATGAACAAGAATTTCAATATAGTAGCTCGGATAGTGACGATTAAGGATTGGAGAGCCCATAGCGTATAGGTACTATAGAGAAATAATTGCCAAAAAAGATTCCCCACACTCCCCGCCCACTTTGCCTTTAATGGTTTATAGAAGTTTGGATGAGACACATAACGAGAAGTTGGCATGTGTGACACGTGTTACTCATGCATTTGCACAGTCTCAGAGGTTAAGAAATGGTGTTAACGTAAAATGGACTATCTGACTAATCAGTAGCCATCACACCTAGTTCAAACGTTATTATTGATACTTGTCTTCGTAGTACTTATCAAATTGGGTCGAGATGGGCCTTAGCCGAGCATTCAGGGTGAGGCCGAACCAAAGGTCTTCGAGCATAGACTCATTTAGCTATAAGGGAGCCTTGTCTTTATGGTGGGTCGGGATAATCTCCATGAAGTCGGACGTAGTCGGAAAGCGTCCCTCTCTATGCATAGAGTCGGATCCGATAAGGTGTTCAGTACTTATAGGTCAATTAATCTATAATATATTTCCCATTAAATAGACTCTAGCCCGTGTTTTGAGATAGAGCAATGTTTTGAGGGACTCCGACTATAAATCCAATTAGAATCTGACATCTATAGATCTTTTGCCATATCAAAATTTTATAATTATTTATAAGAGTTATCTATTGATTGACTACCTTCATAATGCTGGCTTGGATTTTCAAGGCATGTTAAAAATATATATATAATTATATATAACGTTGCATACGGAGTATTAATATTAATAAATAGTAAGTGTAGTGTTGACATTATGGAGAACATCCGATGAATGCAACGGACTTTGCATATAACGGTCCGCAGCTCGCCGAGCAGCGCTAACAACCGCCGGAGCACCACCGCCCCAAGGTGACGGAATAAATAGACACGGGCTTGGCATGTTATTGTGAGAAGAAGATTCAATGAATGAATGGGCTTTAATTAACCAGAGACAAATTGAGTGAAGGGCATTGAATGAATATCGGGTATCCACTGGATTGTGTCACTGGGAAGCCGCGTTTTGTTGAGAAGCTTAGAAGTTGGGTGGCCATTTAAACTATCGTCTTCCTCCTCTGCTTAGGGCTCCTGCCATTTTGGTAACTGTTACTATAATTCCTATTAGCTCTCCCCTTATATATATATATATACACTCTCCTATACGCATTTTGTGTATATATATACACACAAGTATATAGGTATTTGTAAGTGTAGCATTCTGGATTTCTAGAAACCCTCCATTAGCGTAATTCAGTAATTCTCTTCTTTATTATTCGTTTATTTCAAGCGTCATTTCCTATCTGCATTTTCTCTTGAAGAAACTTCATCACGGTTGTATTGAGAACATTCCTGATTTGTATTCTTTCAATTCCCTTATCTGATTAAACTATCATGTTGAAAAGGTGTCGGCATTCAATACAAAACTGGCTATCATAAGCAGTGTAAGCTCTAATCAAGCCTGCAATTCTGAGTGGCAATATGTCCGTGGAGCCACCGGTCAAGCCAGGTAAGCTTTAGTTTTCATTATTTCATTCATGGGGTGCATATATGGTTTGACATTTTGATTTGAGGAATGTTATGGAAGAGATTGGTTTATCATGATGCCTATATCTGTTTACAGGCAGCATGGAAAAGATTGAAAACACGAGGCTCGAGTCATTCAAGAAGAAGGCCATTAGTGCCTCGAACAAGTTCAGAAGCTCTCTAAGCAAAAAGAGCAGGAGAAACAGCAAAGTGTTTTCGCTTGTCATGGATGACGAGCACGATGCTGAGGAAGTTAAATCTGTTGATGCCTTCCGCCAAGCTCTTATCCTCGAGGAATTGCTTCCAGCGAAGCATGATGACTATCATATGATGCTGAGGTCCCAACTGAATTTCATAGTTTCATAATAAACAGTAAAAGATGTTTATAAATGAGGATGTTAAATGGGATTTTCTTCATTTCAATGATGGATTAGGTTTTTGAGGGCCAGGAAGTTTGACATTGAGAAAACAAAGCAAATGTGGTCTGATATGCTCAATTGGAGGAAGGAGTTTGGGGCTGACACAATCACAGAGGTAGTGTAGCTTTCATCCATTTGTATATCCCGTTCGTTTTTACAGCTCCAAGAATAACTGATGTTTTTGTCATGACCCTTTTGTTAGGACTTCGATTTCAAGGAGAAAGAAGAGGTCCTTAAGTACTATCCCCAAGGGCATCATGGGGTCGACAAGGATGGAAGGCCGGTATATATTGAAAGACTTGGTCTGGTTGAAACCACGAAGCTCATGCAAGTTACCACCATGGATCGTTATCTGAAGTACCATGTACAGGAGTTTGAGAGGACCAACAATGATAAAATGCCAGCTTGTACAATCTCTTCCAAAAAACACATTGATCAGAGCACAACTATTCTGGATGTGCAAGGAGTGGTATGTAATTGCAATATATCCTTCGTGTTTATTTCCTTAGAATATAATTTACTGCAATAATGGTTCAGGGACTGAAAAACTTCACCAAGTCAGCTAGGGAACTCATTCAGGCCCTTCAAAAAGTTGATGGTGACAATTACCCTGAGGTAGGTGTTTGCTTTCCTTTCGTCCATTTAACTTTTTGGTTGTGGGGTCTCCCAATGGTTGTCGATTCAATGTTTTATTTCGCTGTATAGACCTTGTGTCGTATGTTCATCATCAATGCTGGATCTGGATTTAGGCTCTTGTGGAACACAGTCAAGTCTTTCCTTGACCCCAAGACCACTGCTAAGATTAACGTAAGCTTTACCTCATCTGGATTTTGCAAAATCCTAAGCTTTTGGTTAAGTGAAAAACGATGAATCTTTTTAAATTTTCTGTAAGGTTCTTGGCAACAAGTACCAGAGCAAGTTGCTTGAAATCATTGATGCAAGGTAAATCTTGTGTTGCTTTTATATCATGAGAATGGGAATTAACAAATGAGCAACTTCATTCATTCCTAAACAATTTATCATCTTCAACCAGTGAACTTCCAGATTTCTTTGGTGGCACCTGTACTTGTGCTGAAAAGGGAGGATGTATGGTCTCTGACAAAGGCCCATGGAATGACCCAGAAATCATGAAGGTTACCTTTTTGTCCGATAAGGCTTTTAGTTGAGACGAGGGGACACATCCTTCAATTTTTTGCTATTCAGTTCATTCCAAATGATGAGTGTTGGGTCTGACTTTCAGATGGTTCGCAATGGCGACCACAAATGCTCAAACCATTCGGCCAATTCAGCTTCAGCTTCAGCTTCAGCTGTTGAAGAGAAAACGATTGTAGAGTACGAGGGTTCGAATAATGTGAAGAAAGCTGTTTCTTTCAAGGTGGAGTCTCCCAAGAAGGTCTCTGCTCTTCAACAGGAAGTAAGTTGCTTTTGCTTCAGTTACTGAAGCTAGTAGTAAGTTGCTTTTGATTCTGATTCAGACTCCATAATAATTGTATAAAACTGGCCGGAAATTATGCAGATGCCCCAACCCGATCAGTATACCCCCCCGGTGAACAAGAATGTTCCACCAAATTGGAATAGAGCAGTAAGTACCGCAAAGGGTGACAACTATGCTGTTGCAAAAGGTATTGACAGAAACCAGTATCATATATATATATCAACCAAATTTAGTTTTCCTCTTCCATATCTGTGACTGCATTGTTCTGTGATTTCAGTGCCAAATTTTTACCCGGTGGCTTACACGTCCCCAGACGGAGGCAACCAGCTCTTCTCTAGCATGATGACGTTTTTCATGGGCGTCTTCACCATGGTCAGGATGTCACGCAACATGCCTGCTGCTCCTAGGGGTTTCAATGATCCCGGGTTTTGCTCTGGCAACGGGATGATGAATGGCCAGGGATATCAGCTCCCTGAATCTACTGTGTCTGTCACAGAGTTCATGAACATGATGAAACGCGTGGGAAGCCTGGAGGAGAAGCTCATTACTCTCAGCAAGGAACCACCCACCATGCCACCTGAGAAGGAGGAACAACTCAACAATGCTTTGAGTCGCGTTGATGCCTTGGAGCAAGAACTCGAAGCCACCAAGAAGGTATTAATCATCATGAGTTCCGTCTCAACTAAACTGATAGTTATGTTCATCAATAACTAATGACTAATCCATTCCTTTTATATTTCCAGGCTCTCGAGGAGACTCGTAGCCATCAAACTGAGATAGAAACCTATATCGAGAAGATGAAGAAGAAAAAGAAGTTCTTTGGTTTCTAATCATCCAAATTGTGACACACTAAACATCTGTAGCTACCTACATATGTATAGGAAGACCATAAAAGGTAAGTACCTTTATATATTAGGGGAGATGATACTTTTATTAACAATCAAACCATAATGGTAAATCATATTTAGTTCATTCTGTTTCACAATGGTGTGATATTATTCCAAATAAAATGTCGAAACAATTTAGATTGTTTTTTGTTTATTTAAAGAAAAAATCAGCATGATCAGCCAAGATTGCTGAACACACAAAAAAGAACAAACAAATTTGAAATGAATCAAAAGCAAAAGTCTTTAGAGGCGGGACTTCTTTTACTGTTTAAAACTGCAGTGCATAGACAAGCAAAGTTCAAGCTTGTGTTAGGGATTCCCTGCTGCATCTGCAACTTCTAAAATATGCGGCAACCTGGTGCCTGCGGGGGACAAAGAACAAAAACCGAAAGTGCACTTTCAAAAAGGGAAAGCTATGGAGTTAATTCTGCGAGAATGATATTTTGTATGTTCATAGATGAGAACTGGTTAGCGTACCCGGGGTTTGGCTACTTGTTGTCTGTCAATATATGCAAGAAGCTCCTCTTGCCTCATCAAAGCTTGAAATAAAGCCTGCACAACCAAAAAGGAAAGACAGTCGGTTCTCTTTGATTGGAGTGTTTTCAGAAAAGCGGTCACCTATTGTATAATGGATAGCATTTACCTTCTTGGTGGAAATTAGCTCGGCTTCTAAGGCTTCCACTCTACAAACAGCAGCCATTAACAATTCCTCTTTTTCATATGGCATCTCAGATGGCTTTCTTTGAATCGAATTTACTTTCTCCTCTAGTTCACCTAGTCTCTTGAGCACAGCAGAGAGAAGTTCAGCTTCTGTATAAGCTGGAGTTGGTGAAGGGGGGCGAAACTCTTCCTTGGGGATTTCTGCAGACGAGAATTCACCAAGAGCTTGATCCCGAGGGGGGGATGCATCTGGAAGTTTCTTGGTTATGCAGGAAACCACAGAGCGGAAAAGCATGAAAACAGCCATGAAGAAAGCCATAAGAGCTCCTAAAATGCGAGCATGAAGCCCATCCGGAGTGTTTTGAGTAACGGGTGGTGAAAGCGTCGCTGAATTCAGGTATAACCAAGAACGAACAGCTAAGCATAGTATAAACTAAATAAACGTGCAGTCTAACTATAAGTTTTGGTTAATATACATATGTTTGATATTCAGACCTTTAGGAACATATGGCTTTTGAAGATATGATTGTTTCTTCAAACCAGAATCAACAGCCTTATCAACCATGGGAACATATTCATCAAATCCTGAGATGATTGTTGTCCCAATAACTCTTGCCTGTTTCTTATCGGCAAGAACATAAAATCATCAAACTAGTGAGCCAAAGAACATAATAATCCTGACTGCTCAAAATGCGTAACAAAAGAATACCTCTTCACGAACAGGAGTAAGCCTAAGCTGTGAAAAACTCCTCTTAGCTTTCGGTGAAGCAATTTCTTCAGCTTCAGATCCCGACTCAGCTGATGTGTCACTGCCTTTTACCTGGTGAGAAACGATATACATATAGAATTACAATCATATTCAAAAAAAAAAAAAAAAAGAAATTGATATTCGAGACACTATATATATACATAGGGATATAGAACAGAAGCCATACCATTGGGAAACGGGGTTTAGCATAAACCACCTTTCCTTCGCTGTTCAGAACCTTAAGAACCTGCTTGCAACGACGTGCTTCACCAACCATCTATGGCACATAGAGCGTGGCGTTTTGTTATTGCTAGAAGTATAACGAGAGGAAGAGAAACGTTAGGCCACTGAAAACTGTGATAATACCTTCAATAAGGCTGGGTTTTTCCATGGACCTTTATCAGAACGAAGGCACCCTCCTTCATCAGCACATGTACAGTTTCCACCCAGAAAATCTGGCAACTCACTGCACAAAACTTAGACTTCAGTGATACAGTTCGAGGGACAAAATAACAAAAAATGCAAACACAATTGAAGCATTTGATCAGATTCACCTAGCATCTATTACTTCAAGCAGCTTGTTCTGATACTTGTTGCCAAGAACCTGCAAAAGAGAAACATACAGTAAATAAAATGAGTTTCTGAGGTTAAGAAAGCCGATAACCACATAAACTTTGTTATAAAATAAAATGGGCATACGTGAATCTTGGAAGTTGTTTTGGGGTCTAGAAAGCTCTTTACGGTATTCCACAACAACTTGAATCCTTGACCAGCATTGATGATAAACATCTGATGGAGTGTCTGCAACAACGAAAGAAACAAAAGTACTATGATTCACATAATTACGAGATCAAACATGGTACTAGTTAGTCAAGTTAGGAACCAAACATACTTCAGGATAATTATCACCATCAATCTTCTGCAGCTGCGTGATAAGCTCCCGGGCATTCTTAGTGAAGTTTTTAAAACCCTGAGAAAAACAAAAGTACTATTAAACCAATTACAAGTATAATATCGAGAGAGAGAGAGAGAGAGAGACGAGGGGAACATACCACGCCTTGAACATCAAGAATTGTGGTGCTAGAGTCAATGTGCCTCTTTGCTGCAATTGTGCAAGCCGGAAACTTAATGGCAAAGGTTTTTTCAAACTCTTTAACATGGTACTTTATATAACGCTCCAGTGTTGTTACTTGCATGAGTTTGCTAGGATCAACTTTCCCGAGCCTTTCAATATATATAGGTCTTCCCTCCTTGTCAACGCCATGGTAACCATGTGGGTAATAGTTCAAAACTTCATCTAACTCTTCAAACTCAAACTCCTAATGAAATATCGAGCAAGGAAAAATTACTAAACTAAGAGTCTAAGAGTAGATGTATCATCAACGAGGACTCGAGGAGGGATACAAATATATACCTGCATAATGTTATCAGCACCAAATTCCTTCCTCCACTGGATCATATCAGCCCACATGTTCTTTGCTTTCTCGATGTCAAATTTCCTCGCTCTCAAAAACCTAAAGCAACAAATCACTATCACTATTAGGATTTGCGGAAACTTGTAACAGATTGTTATGATTATGAAATGAACAATAATCTAAAAACGGGAATTATGAAAAAAGACATTACCTCAACATCAAGTAATAATCATCATGGCGTTCCACTAATAGTTCATCCAAAATCAATTCTTGCCTAAATTCATCGACTGCCTGTAGCTCCTCAACATCCCGAATATCCTCAATGGAGACAGAGCTGGATCGCCCCCCATTCTTTGTTCTATTGCTTTTCTTCTTGAGTGAGTGCTTGAATCTCGAGGATGCACTAAGGGCTTTCTTCTTTAGAGCACCAATTTTTGTCTTTCTCTCGTCCTCCGAGATATCAAAATCAGATTTCCTTTCCCTTCTCTCGTCATTGGCCGAGGAACCTTCAAAGCCTGAATAAGTTATAAAACACATCTGTTTATACTCTCATAAAGTTATAAATGATGATCATAATATTTGTAGAAAACCTGCATTTTCCACTTGCCAAGACTAAAGCCTAGCTATACATCTGAACATTGAAGATTAACTTCATATAGGCACATCACATGATCACAGCTCACATTTATGTACATTCATCAACTAAACAACTATTACGAAATGATTTGATTTGAAGAAGAAGAAGAAGTCCATAAAGCAATGATTTTTTAGTGAAAAATCAAGAATTTGAATAAGAACTCATCCCCATTCAACAAAGAATTAATCTTCAAGAAAAGAGTTTCCATTGAATATTTCTACCCCCCAAAATCAACTAAAAAAAATCCTTGTTTCAGCTTGGCGCCACGAAATGGAATCCGATCAAAAGAAAAGAAAGTGAACTTACATGGCCTAGCGAAGAAATCAAGAGGTCCCGACATGTTTTCCGTCGATCACAAGAAACACGCGCACACTGTAAAAGAAACCCAGAATTTCAGAATATATATAACGCCATATATATACACAATTCTCAGCAGGGCCGAGGAGGTCGAAGAACAATAGTCTTTGGGAATGCCGATGTTGATCGGAGGGTAATAAATAGCTCGAACGGTAACGGGAAATGGGGAGTGAATTAATGCGGAGAACAATAACAATAATTAAATAAAAATAATTTCTTGCCCACAAAAATGAAAATAAAAATAATAGTAGTAATACAGTGTACCTGTAGAAATAAGAATCAAATAATCGCGAGGAGAGGAGAGGAGCAGAGGGAGAAGGAGAAAAGCGAGAGATAGTCAGCAGGGAGGGAGGGAGGGACAGAGGGGTGTTTTGACTTCTGAAGCTGGATATGGTATCAATTGCCACGTGGACCGACAGAACGAGGAATCTGCTAACCAGAATTGCCAAAATATTGAATCTTGCGTGGCCTTCACCATGATTGCCTAATCATTACCAAACTTATTTCTTCTAAATTTCCTCTCTCTATATATATATATAATTTCTTAACGCGTAAATTATTATTATTATTTCGTGATGAGGGAATTTCACTAATTAATTTTCTATCTTATGAGATGATTTGCTATATCCTTTATATGGGATGATTAAATGGAACAAAATCTCATCTCATTATATAAAAATGGCTTCTTTCTATTTTAGTTTATTTTATCATGTCTAGTTATATATCCACATCGGTGTTGATAATATCAAATATAGATATTATTGTTTTTTTCTTTTTACATCAAATGGAGGGGAGCACCCCAAAACAACATGATTTGAGACACTCGTCTCTTATAATCGGTCAAGGTTCACACCCCTATATGTACATCTTGTGCACAAAAAGTCTTTATTTCTTCTGATAAATCAAGACCTCCACATTATTACTGGAGCAAAAATTTAAAATGATTGGTATAATCAATTGACCGATTGAATACTTGCATATCAACGATGGTAATTGTACAAACAAAATCCCCGGCAATGCACGCGGCATTCATATTTGTATAATAAATTGTTTTTAGACCAAACGATTCACGTTCCAAATACAACTTACCATGTTTAAATATAATAGATATTATCTAATATGTTTTTGGTAATTATTTGAATGGTGCAATAATTTGATTATCCACTAAGTTAGCATTTACATTTTTTGTTTTTGTTTGCTTAAAAATAATTTATTTTTGTCAACTACTATATAGTGTATAGACACCTATATTACCATTCTAAATGGATAATCACATATTTAAATCATGGTGGTCGAAACATTAATTCTTTGAGCTGAAAAAAATTGAGAAGTATAAAATCGATATTATCTTACAAAAATTATGAATATTTAGAAACAAAAATCATTTTTTAATTAGTATCTTCCTTGATTTTTGGGTGGGGGTAGTTTATGCCATCGCAATGTTGTATTTGCCAAATCATTATTCGTAAGAGCATCCACATTAGTTGGGGAGATTTAGGAGATAATGTAAGAGTGATTAGGAAAGAGAAGGTGGGAGGGGAGAGAAAAAGAAAGAAAAAAAAAATAACAAAACAAAAATTGAAAAAAAAAAAACCTACCGCGTCAAGCACGCGCCCGTGTGTTTGCGCACAGCCAATGTTCTTTCTTTTTTTTTTCTTTTTTCCTTTTTCTGACATTATGCTTGAATTTGCAGAACAATTATTTTCACAAATAACCCCACCCCACATTTATTATTATCCCCACCCAAGATAATTCATCTGACATTATCTCTATAATATCTACTGATGTGGATGCTCTAATTCGAATCTGCAGAATACTAATTCGCATGAGTCTCCGACAAATGGAAGGGAGCGGTTTAATTTGCGTACAATTATTTTCACAAGTCGCAATCTCACTCCATATGGCAATGAGAAATAATTATATTATTTAATAAAATAAAATGTAGCAGGATTGATTAGTTAGTGCATATCAATGATATGAAATTAAAAAAAAATAAAAAAAAAAAAGAAGAAAGAGTGTAATAACTCGCATGAGTCTCGAAGAAATAGAAGGGTACAGTTTAATTTATGTAGAGCTATTATCAGAAGTCACAATCTTACTCCACATGGCAATGGAAAATAATTATATTATTTAGTAAAATGTAGCGGAATTGATTAGTCCGTGCATATCAATGATATGAAATTTAAAAAAAAAAAGAGTAAAACGTAAGAGTGTAATAACTCGCATGAGTCTCGGAGAAATAGAATGGTACACTCTAATTTATGTACATCTATTCTCACAAGTTACAATTTTGTAAATGGTAAATTGTAAATATTAAGTATGTAAATTGTGAACATTCGTGATTCAGCATATAAATTTTGTATTTTGTAGTTTGGATCCGGATCCATCTGGCTAGGTATATCTTGGTCCATGGTATAACTATTGGACTAAGTCACTAGGTGGCCCAGAATATAGTTATTTGGCCCAATTAGTTGTAGGAGTTCGAATTCCTTTAATACTTAATATTGGGCTTATCATTTGTTGACCTTAACTCATAAGATATGAGCAGAATTTTATTTATTTATTTTTTTCTTCATAGTTTCATTTGATGTTTGAATGTCAAACACATAATAAAGTTGGTCGCTTACCCACGTTCTTTGTGATTATTTTGTGTCCCCATGTATGATGTATCAAATCAAAGAAACAAATAATAATAATAATAATAAAATATAAGATTGCAAGATGGAACATCAGATCATCATTGCGAGTGTATATATACACACATGCACACGCACACATATACTATGATTTGAAATATATAAATTCGAACATAAGTTGCATTTTTTTTTAAGGTACAAAAATTTATATTCAAATATAGGTTCGTATATAAAATGGATGCGTTCAATATATACACAAACAATAATCGAGCAACTAACTGAAGCAGTGGGACAAAATCAATTGCATCATGATGTAGGTTAAGGCTGGCATTTAATTTGGTAAAAGAAACTGAAAAATCTGTGGTCTGAGGAGGAGACAACATTGCGTGCATCTTTTTACTAACACAAAGTTAGGTGCCATTTCTCCTTTTATCATCTTTTAATCTTTTTCACGAAATTTCATTTAACTTTAGTACGTACACCTTTTTTTTTCTTTTTTTTTTTGGTATACTGAAATTATACCATATTTGAAATCTATACACAAGCATTCAGGGGTGGATTGATTTTGTAATTCAATTATGAAAAATATTTAAAAGACAATTTTCTTGTTATGAATTATCTAATCAATTGAATATGGATCATCGTATTTTTTTAAAAAAAATTGCATCATCGTATTTAAATTATTTTAAAAATATTTAGATTTGATCTAATTAAAAAAAAAATTTGAATATCATATTAATAGAGATGATATACAATTTAATTATTTCAACTATTTCATATTTTACTATAAATATTTTCATTTTTAATCATCACTAAATAAAATTTCTGACTCCATCCATGTAAGTATGTAACCATTAATCTCAAGAAAACAAAATAACAACACTCCCACCAACAAAAATGTAGTGAAACTCCCTTCAAAAAAAATTGTAGTGAAACTCTTCTTATAAGCAAAATGTTTGTAAACTCATAAAATATCTACCGCCAAATGGCATAATTATCGGTAATTACCAAAAAAAAAAATTATATAAACTAAAACTGAATAGCTATATATGGTAAACGTATACTCAAATAATATTCTATATTTTTAATATCATAATCAACTTTTAATTATGCGTTAAAAGACACCCTCACCCTACGACACTACAACCATACCCACACAATGATTTCTCATGATGATTAGATTATTAGGTGATTGATTACTCAAGTAGTGTTAGGGGAAATATCACGTCTCAGGCCACGGATAGAAAAATGGTGAGAGAGAAATATTATACTATAATATTTTTAGCAAAGCATCAAGGTTCATGCACAGAGTGAAAATGTCATTAATTAATCTAAGAGCATCCATAATATTGAAGATATTTCGTAATTTTTTGAAAAGTTTTTGTAATTGTGATTATGAATGAGAATATAGAAGGGGAGAGGAAAAAAAAAAAAAAGAAGCAAAACTGATTTAAAACTATACTCCGTATATAATAACAATTGTCAGGCGGCTTAAAGCGCGCCCGCTAGATGCAGTGGTGATACTCTTGCAACATAGGTGAGGGAGAAGTTTTTTTCAATAAGTTCCACTTTTTTAAAAATATCTCTTCGTTTACAGATGAACCCAAATTCTCTCTTTTCTAATTTGTCAGAAATATCTCCTAAATAACTACACATATTGATGCTCTAATTATGCATGCATGCATCTCTACAGATAATGCAATATTTGCAAGATTACATACATTATATTCCATATTGCACATCAGCACATCGAATAATGTTACAAATTAAACCATTTAAAACATATCTGAGATAGATTATTAGCCAACTTCATTGCCTTTTGTATCCTAATTATTATTTGTACTGTTCAGACACCCGTGCAATGATTGGGGCAGGACCTAGTATTTTGTTACAATTTAATATAAAAAGGTTACAATAGAATATTTTAAAATGGAAAATTGATATATGTTCAACAACTTATGAGTTACAAAATTTATAAATATATTCTATTTTAATATATAACATTTTTACATGCATCCTTATAAAATTTTCTTATAAGTAATATTCGTGTCACATGGAAGAGATAACATTATGCGTTTTATTAAAATACTGTGGAGAAAAATCACAAACAAATGTGTATTATTATTATAGAGAAATTTGAATAAGGTAACACCAATAATATTTATGAAATAAATAGTTTAGGGAATGAAAAAAAAAAATAAAACCCATATATAAAGAGTCATGATGAGTTATTATTTAATCTCGGCAAAATTTTAATTGCCTTAGATATATCTGAATCATCAAGACCAGTGAGGCATTGACGTTGTATGAGTGCAGTGGTCTAATATGGTCAGAGATTAGATTAATTGTTGAGTTAATCTTCATTAGCAATTCTACATTTTTTCTCTTACTATAATTTCTGTAGTTAAAAAATTCAGACTATTAAATTTTGGACACTTTTGATCTTCTAGTAACTTTTCTCATCACTTTTTCTTTTAAATGATTTTTCGGTTTTGTTTTAATTTTTTTTTTCCAGATTTCGCTTCATCTCTTTCGCCGGTTGTCTTCATCTCTTACGCCATGTTCCAAAATCTTCTTTAAATAATAAATTTTCACCCATTGCTTGAGTTTGTCGAAGAAGTGTTGGATTTTCCGATTTTGTTCGCCGGTTACAATCTTTAGTTATTGTCGCCGGATTTTGTCACAACCGCCAGCGGTCTCAAAACTAGTTTCGAACGGTCGCCGGTGCATCGTCTATCCTGCAACGGCGGAGAGTAGAGATGGCCACGGTTCCGGTTCGAACCGGAACCGAACCAAAACCGTCCTTACGGTTCCGGTTCCGGTTCTTAACCGGAACCTTATCCTATAAGGTTCCGGTTAAGGTTTGTAAAATCTTGGAACCAGAACTGCCGGTTCCGGTTTCAAACTGGAAAAAAAATAAATATTATAGTGTTTTTTTTTTAAAAAAAATTTTAATAATTCCGGTTAGAACCGGCGGTTCCAACCGGAACCGCCGGTTCTGAACCGGAACCGGAACCTTACTATAAGGTTCCGGTTCCGATTTCGCCATCCACGGAACCGGAACCGTGGTCACCCCTAGCGGAGAGACGTCGAATACTTTTTTTTTTTTTTTTTTTTTTTTAATATAAAATAAAAATCGACGCCATTGTTTATTACTCCAATCGCGCGCGCTAGTCTTTCCATTGTTTCTCCATTAGGACATCTCGTTGCGGCACTGAATTTTGGTGTCGCAATTAAGGCACAGAGATGAAGCAAAACTGGGAAAAATTAAAACAAAATTGAATTTTTTTAAGTGATAGAGACAAAAATACACTTATTTAAAATTGAGTTTTGTTGAAAAAGTTATCAAGAAGAATCAAAAGTGTCTAAAATTTAATAGTTATTCAATAATAAAAACAATAATCTGTGAAATTGTCACAAAAGATGAATGAGATCTGCTGGAATTAATTCCTAAATTTTTAAAGATTAATTTTATCTTCTTGTTGCTTCCTTGCAAGATCTAGATTCTAGATGGATGTAGAGGGAACTCCACGCGTCACATGGCTGATCACCCCCTTCGGCCCTTCCTTACGAGCCCACCATTATTATTATTATTATTGTTATTATTTTCTCCGGAGTAGATTCCAATTTCTGTACTCCTATTTTAGTACTCGTATTACAGTAATATTAATTTTCCCCCACTTTCCTAACCATATTTTCAGCTATTGCCACTTTTTTCACCTATAAAATGTCAAGCCTAGCATGCACACCACCCCCTTTCTTTTTCTCCTCTTCCTCCTTTACAATACTAGCTAGCGTCACTCTGTCTCAAGTACTTTAGTTTCAGAGGCTAATAAGCCAAGATACTCATCTCTCTTTCTTGTGTCCTAATTGAGCTTATGCTCAGAAGTTAATCTTGATGCTAAACATGCTGTGTCTGGTGTTTGAAATTCATGTCTGCTATACTCAGTGAACTCTTCCTTTCAGGGTTTATGATAAATTCCACATATAGGCGCAGGACCCATTTAGTTCAATCCTTCTCTGTTGTTTTCCTCTACTGGTTTTATTACATTTCATGATTTTGCTTTGTTTCCTAGTATGAAGATGTCTAAATATATATAAATAAAAATAAGCAAAAAAACAACCTATATCTTATATTATTGCTATCTATCTAGCTACTTGAAATTTGGGTTTAAATCACTATCTGGGTCCTGCTAGTTTCTTCTGTATATCTCTCTGTTATCTGGTGTTGTTTTTCTTGAGGTATTTTTCATGGCTTCCTCTAGTGGGACATGTTCAGGGTCATCTATGATGCAAAACTCAGGTTCTGAAGGGGATCTTCAAGAATTGATGGATCAGAGGAAAAGGAAGAGAATGATATCTAACCGTGAATCTGCGAGGAGGTCTAGGATGAGGAAACAGAAGCATCTGGATGATCTGGTGTTCCAGGTGGGTCATCTGAGGAAAGAGAACAGCCAGATCATCACCAGCATGAGCATCACCACCCAGCATTATCTCAATGTTGAGGCTGAAAACTCCATCCTGAGAGCTCAAATGGATGAGCTTAGCCACAGGTTGCAGTCCCTGAATGAGATGATCAGTTTCTTGAATGGAAACAATTGGGGTTCTGAGATTGATCAGCAGCCTTACCTTTACAGTACTGTCCTGAATGAAACTCTGGATGATGGGTTCTTTATGAACAACAGTTGTTGGAATTTTGTGTGTGTCAACAAGCCCATCATGGCTACTGCACCTGCTGACATGCTGCAATACTGATCAGTTCCCAAGACATTTTGGAGCCTAAAGAGGGAATCTATTTAGCTGTAGGATCCAAGATAAGATAAGCATATTTATAATTATGACTATTAAAGTGGTATTAGTAGCTGTAAGGATAATAAAATGGTTCTTGTAAAATGCTTTTGTCCCCATGTTGGGGTGATGAAGGTGTTGGGTGGGGGTGGATATCAGAAACATGGCTTTTCAAGAACTCTGTAATTGTCTATAATGTAATGATAACAATGTCAACCTTAAATTTCCCTCTAAACAGTGTATCCTTCAAAATATCTAATCACTTAATTGCTTCAATTCACTCAATCATCCAGGTATTTAATGTGATTAGTTGCAACAAATAGTCTGTGAATAAGAACTCAACATCATATGTGGGCCTGTGATATTCTGGAACCACTAATTTATTAAGTTATGACCCTTCACATATACACATAGTACTACCTGGGAGTAAACATAATCATTTTGCACATAGGGCAAGATGTCTTTGAAATGATTTCCACCAACTAGATCTTTATATCTTGCCAATTTCAAAAGGAAGCTTATGTACAAGTAGTGCCATTATTTTCTTAGAAATTCTCATTATTGCAGATTATGTCATGACAATGATGTAATCCTAAAATGAATGTGATATGGTGTTCATGATTTACTAGTTTTAGGGTCTAATTTAAAATGCATGAAAAATGGAAATCAAGATTCCACCAATTATAAGCTGCAAAAATATGAGGCAAAGAAATTATGGAAAAACCACAAGTGAGAGTAAGTTAAAAGCAGGGAAAAGGATGCTAGATCTATGATAAGTTGTGCATGTGCAGGAAACAATGTCATCAGTACATGTACAAACTCTGGTTACATATTATTATTAATCTCATAAGATCCTTGCATTATGCCCATAACAATAATTTATATCAGAAGATCATGGTCAGATGCTTTTAAGGTCCATCCTCTGATCAACATATACCATTTTCAAGACAGGCAACTAAACTGTACATAAACTGAAAAGACTGTATGTCAAGCAGTATAGGCAGGAATAAAAAAAAATATGCACCATTTTAACTTTTAGTGTGAAGAGAAACATTGCAAATGGAGCTGCAACTTATTTCAAAGGGGAACTCTACAGCAATGGTTTTTCTTTTGGTTCCAATAACTTTTGTGCATCTATCTTCAGTAAAGATAAAAAAACAAAACAAATAATGTAAAAAAATAAATGCTAGTGGTAGGCAATGAGACCAACTTGTCCTTATAGATGCCCCATTTTAATTTCATAAAGAAAAAATATTGCAAGAAGACAAGCTATCATGTTTTTGGTCATAGTCTATTCTAAACAGTTAACATCATAGTTCCGTAACCAAATATGTAATTATATTGCTTCCCAGAACCTTTAAATCAAAGAATACCATATTAACTAGTCAAATATTAGCACCTGTCACAAGCAAATTGAATAAGGTTGCCTCTTCTAAAAATCACTTAATGTATTTAAATAAACCTTTGTCAAAACATAGCAAAGAAAGCAACATCTGGCCTGCAAAAAGAAAAAGGTCTCTTTCTTTGATTAAGCTAATTGATTACTCAAAATACAAATTGATTTAAGCAACTTGTACAACTGCAATAACACATCCAATTTTCCAACAATAACCATCAAGTATTCTTGAATTGAAAAACTTTGATAATTTTATCCATAAAAGTAGTTTAATACCAGAGCTAAACAATATGGTTTGTACTTGGAATTGGAATACAATTTAAAATGCTTATTACTATAAGGCATAATACATTTGTAATGTGTACAGAAATGAAAAAAAAAAAGGCTATAGACTGATTGGAATAAAACATCATAAATCATAAAGAAAATTCAACGGTCTCAAATTTTTTTGGTTATTTCTAGTTCAGGGAATAATCCTTTTCAAATATTCTTCTTATATAAAATACTAAAGCATTAGATATCTGATAATCTTTAGTGATCAAAAGGTAAGCAAGAGACCATCCATTTAAACAGATGGAATGTATTTTGATAATTTATCTTCTTTGCTAAGATAGCATTTTGTAGGACCAAAAATTATAAAAGTAATGTACGTGAAGCCAGCTTCAACAGATGTCATTTTTAATCCAGCCAGAAACCTACCATCCTTAATTGTTTACTCGGTACTATTATTCTTCAACTTTTTATATAAATCTAAAAAAGTTAAACAGAAAAGCTATGCAATATTAAAAGGCAGTTTCATCTTCTCCAGTTACTTGAATTGGGACAGCCATTATGTGAATGAGATTCTACCACTATAGTGTAAAACAACAAATAAGAGCACCCTCTTAACCTCAGCAAAGGAAAAGCAAGGATGCAGATTGCCAAAAGTATTACAAGCATTATTGTGCAACTGGCACATAGCGAACATCTATTTTTACTTGACATTTAATTTTAGTCTCATCAAAACATAAAAAGAAATTTATGAATTCAGGTATTACGATACCTTTTGCACTAGACCCCATCAACTTATATCTGAGATGATGAAATCTCATGCCATGTCTTTTCCTTTTTGGAGTTGATGATAATTACTCGCAATTAAGGAAATTCTTTAATGAGTTGTGCTAGCATGTGGGCAGGCCATAACCTTGCACAATTTACATGAAAGTAGATAAAGGTAAACTGTTTCAGGCAAAGAGCTTTGTATTTCAACAGCTTCGTGAAACTAGCTTGTTTCTTTCTTTGTACAAAGCAGTAAAAGGAACAAAAACTTGAACTTCTTGTCAACAGATAAGGTGTGGGAAGGACGACAAGAGTTCACACATGTTTTGTGAGAGAAGCTCTCAACCTATGACCTAAACAGTTAGAGGGCGAGCACTTGGCAACTGAACCCAGCTAACCTTAGCTTATCCGCTGACAGACTATTCCTACTTAATTGCCAATTCAGAGCACTTTCAGCAGAGAATATTCATACAATTCTCATCACTGAAATCACTATTCAATCACCATAAATTCAGTGTATTATGTACAACTGGCAAACCTTTTCATAAATGTTTGCTTACTCTAATCTGGAACCATAGTATACTTAGTAAACAAGGTCAGACCAAATAATACCTAGATGCTTAAACCAGCAGGTATTATATGAATTCCATAAACTTTCCAACTCTGAAAAATAACTACTAACTACATTATGAAAATAATTGGCCTTCTGTTCCCCCTCCACAGAGCAAATAAACACCAAAAATGACAACTCCAGAAATGAATGATAATCATGACAAAGTGAGATAGATACAGATTAGCAAAACTATCAAAATTCAACTTACAGGTATGGAAAATATCAAATCTGTCCCTCGAGCTGAGATATCCTTCTGCAACCCAACAAATGTTCCCCGTCGACTGCTGTCCTACACTCTTCAAATTTTTCCTGCCATCGCTGTCGTCCTGGATTTTGAAATCAACTGCTAGTTCTACTTTAGAACCGCCATTACTCACCTGAAAGCTACAACTCATTGAATCCAGCTCGTTCAATTGAAAGCTACAACTCACTGCACCGCGAAATCTCACTTACAGGGCGGCTCGCATTTTATTCACGACTTTAGAAAGCAAAAGCCTATCGTAATGGGAGCAATAAATACAGAGATTCGGTTTTCTAAGATCAACAACAAAATGGGCTTGACAATTTAAAGCATCCATAATGTTGTCTTCAACAAATGCTGTTACAGTGATACCAAAATCATTAACGCATAATCATAGCATGATTACTCCCGTCATCAGAGTTCAAGGTGGTTAACAGTGACTAAACTAGTCTTCAGCATCATCCGCAATCATAAACGTTCTAAGAAATCTAGTCCAGTAGTCCTTCGATCAAACATTTTACCAAACGGTTTCCATGGAAGGCGGCCGCCCAACTAACCTGCACCGCATTTTCTTTTTTTAAATTATCCCCATTTTACTCCTTTAGCATTTCAACAGGTGCTCCCCGACATCTGAAAAACATTGAGGAATCAAAGTCATCGTCCGGTGGATTGGCGATTTTGCGCGCTTGTAATTGCTGGGTCCGAAGTGAACAGTGTGTCTGGTAGACTGGTGGCAAATTATGCTGTGCATCCGTATGCACCAAGCATGGTGCATACGGATGCAAAAACGACTTCGTTTTTATAAAACGCGCGTCTCCCTTTAAAAAAAAAAAAAATTAAGTTCGAAACTATAATTCCATAATCGATGAACTATAATTTCATAATTGATGAACTATAATTCCATAATCGATGAACTATAATTTCATAATTGATGAACTATAATTCCATAATCTAATCTATGAACTAAAATTTTCATAATGAATGAACTAAAATTCCAGAATCTATAAACTAAAATTTCAGAATCGATGAACTATAATTCCAGAATCGATGAACTATAGTTCCATAATCGATGAACTATAATTCCATAATCCATGAACTATAATTCCATAATGAATGAACAAAATAATGTTATTACTATGAATCGAACCTGATTTTTTTTTTTTTTTAAAGGGGAAACGCACGTTTTTAATAAAACAACGTCGTTTTTGCATATAACTATACTGGTAGATGTAACTTGTAAGATAGCGAATGGACGTTTCAACTTTCAAGAGTTCACTAGTTGGGCTTTCGATTAGGGCCGAATTCCATTTGGGATTTGAAAATATATTTTAGAACTTCAATTGTTCAAAACTTAGTTAGACTGCAACGGCCCTGTTGCATTTTGCACCATCACCATATCTATCGATGAAAATGAAAATGACCCCAAAGACAGGTGGTTGAGGGCAAATTATTCTCTGGACCTGGATTAAAAAATATACAATTAGAATGTTCATAATTCAAATTGTGAACATTCATTATATAAATCACTAAATTGTGAACATTTAATATATAAAATTGTGAACATTCAATATGTAAATGGTGAACATTTAGTATATAAATTATGTATTTTGACCTAATTCTATGAAATAACTGTTAGTGGTTGAGGAGGTAAAGCATAATTCTTATATTAAAAAGTTATAGATTATAATGTTGAACAAATGTTAATGCATTACAATAGTATATATTGTACAATAAATTATTACAAAAAACCAATTAATCAAACACTCATATTGATTGTTTAATCAAACTATACAGTTAATAGTGGTCAACTATTCTATGATAGGCTAATTATTTTACCAAATATAGCCAATGTAAAGTAGCCATGGTACACAATATAAATTGCGATACTAGCATATGTGCAATCGTTATGCTGTGAGCACGTGCCCACCTTGCATGGTGCGCACGAATCTATATCCATAATTTTTATACTGTAGATCCATAATTTTTAGACTCTCGGTGAGCTAAAATTTATACTTTAGATTCATAATTTCTAAAATCGTAGGACCCATAATTTAAATACAGTAGATCCATAATTTATATACTGCACTGATTTGTGAAAACATGGTTCAACAATTGAAATCAAAAGTATAAATTTTAGCTCACTAAGATTTTAGAAATTATGAATCTACAGTATAAAAAATATGGATATAGATTCGTGCGCACTATGTACATGATGTACACATGCTCACAGCATAATTTGCCGCATATATGGGCCTATAGTTTTTGACTTGGGTCATTATAATGGATCGTCTTGGGCTTGTTCTGCTATTGGGTTAAATTCATTGGGCTAACATAATGGACTGTTGGTACATTTCACCGCCAATCGTTATGATGTGGAACCGTGCTCAAAGAATGACGCCGTTTTCATGTGGTTGAGTAAGATGCCGTTAATGACACCGTTATTCTCCATAATTTTTATACTGTAAATTCATAATTTATAAACTGTAGATTCATAATTTAAATATAGTAAATTCATAATTTCTAAACAAAGATTATAATTTCTATACTGTAGATTCATAATATTTGTACTGTAGATTCATAATTTATAAACTGTATAGTTATCAAATTATGAACATATAGTTCTGTGATTTGTAAATACAGAGTTCAACAATTGAGAATATGAATATCGAAAATTATGAACATATAGCTCTATAATTATGAACATGTATTTATAAAATTATGGGCATATAGTTCTATCACATATTCACAAATCTAATACTGTAGATTTATAATTTATAAATTGTGTGATTACGAAGAGAAAAACACGGTTAATAATAAGTAAAAAATAATTTTTTAAAAATTAAAACAACTTCGTTTTCATGAAAACAACACCATTGTGTAACTGGGTGGACCGGTAAACCGCTTACGAGTGGCGTTGAGATTCGAACCTATGACCTTTGGTCTGACTCTGATACCAAATTGAAGCATGTGCTCCATCTCAACTAAAAGCTAAGTTGATAATTAGATACACATTAATGGTTATATGCTCACACGTGGCAACATCAACGTTAGAAACGCTCAAAAAGAGTCAGCAGCTGAAGAATCTGAGTGGACAGGCGTCATCGAGATCCGGCCCATATTCAATCGCAGTGAGTTTCTCGTTTCTTACGAGCATCTTCAAATCCATATCTTTAGAGCATGTTATAGATCTAAATAAACGTAATTGAGATCTTACACACCTTGGATTTGGTAATTCTTCTTGCTATTCACTTCGTTGTTTGCTCGATACAAATAAGGAAATATATTGAGCTAGTAAGCAAGCTTGCTATGTCTTTAATGGATTGCCTTGATTTTGCGGCTGCTGGATATACTGTATCAGCTTAGTTGTGTTCTTTTCAGGACTTGAATTCATTTTATTCATAATTTGTTTTTTACTAGAATTGAGTGATACAGAGTGCACTGATAGTTTGTAGAACTGCTAGCACTTAAGCCATGGTAAAGGACACAGAATACTATGAAATCTTGGGGGTCGGGGTGGATGCCACGCCCGCAGAAATTAAGAAAGCATACTATGTCAAGGTGAGATTTCTGCATTTTGTATGACATTTATTTGTTTCTTTGCATTCGTAGTTTTCATTCAGCCTTTTAACAGCATTAGAAGTTACTGAATTTGGGACATATGCAAGAACAACTTTGGTTCTGGTGTAATGCTTGCACATTAAATCATGCCTTGTTCTTTCTACTGCTAGGCAAGGGTAGTACATCCAGATAAAAATCCCGGGGATCCACAAGCTGCTCATAAATTCCAGGTAATTTGGCTATCTGAATTTTAACTGTTCAGTCATCTATTTAAGTTGTTTTCCTTGGTAATAATTGTGTTCTGGTGGCAAACCCTTTGAAGTAAAATTGAGTTTATTGTGTTCTAAGGTTCTGATGTTTCATTCTTACTGCACTTTGGCTTTATTTCATTGTTTAAGGTGCTTGGAGAGGCTTATCAGGTCCTGAGTGATCCACAGAAACGAGAAACTTATGACAAACATGGGAAAGATGGAGTGCAACAGTAAGTATACATTTTCAGAAATGTACGGGGGAGATCCTAACTAAGCGGTGTTATACTTGTACAGTTGTACTGATCAGTTGCTAGTTTTTGGTTTTCAACCTCAGTGCATTTTGTAAATTTTGCATAACTTGACTGGTCGTCACCCATAAAAAAAATAACACTAGATGTTGCAAATGTTGTTGTAAGGAAATGATCAATGATAGCCTTCTATGTCCACTACATATTCTGATCAATTGAGGAATGATTTGTTATATTCGTTTGGGGTTCTCTTTATTAGGGACACAATGGTGGACCCTGCTGCTGTTTTTGGAATGCTATTTGGGAGTGATTACTTTGAAGACTATGTGGGGCAACTTTTACTGGCTTCTTTGTCAGCTGTTGAAGTAGATGAAGAGGAATCTACTCCTCCTGAAGTCCGGAAAAAGAATATTCAGGATAAATTGAAGGTATGCTTATTTCAACTTTAACCCATGAAAGGTTAGTCATTCTGTATATTTCATTGAAACTCTCTTTGCTTTTGCATACAGGCATTGCAGAAGGAAAGGGAGGAGAAGCTTGTAACAATTTTAAAAGATCGTCTTCAACCATATGTTGAAGGCCGTACTGAGGAGTTTGTAAGTTGGTCAACATCAGAAGCACGCCGCCTTTCTCAAGCTGGTATTATGCCGTTCTTTTCAATACTTAATTTACAACATATATTGCATGCAATTTTTACTGTCTAAAGTGTAAACTTCAAGATCCATGAAATATAATTTCTCTGCACTCTGCAGTGTGAAGAACATTAGAAACTCTTGGAATGTTTCTAAACACTGAAGTTTTACTTGACCTTGACCAATTGTTGAGCAGTATTGGCCAACCACCAACTTGGTAAAATTAGTTTTAAGGTCAAAATTAGTAAAGAAAAAAGAATAATTTCCTTAGAAAAGAAACAAACTACCACTAGTCATAGAATTCCTAACACCACATAATGAAATCTCAATTTATTTTCTTGTTCTAGTCAGATTGCTACCCTAGTTCGATAGTTATAGAAATCTAACACCCACCTAGAAATCTAGAATTCCTACCAGAGTGTTGCGTATTTCTATGTCATTCAGATAGAGGAAATATGGGACGACATTACATGTCCATGTTTGTATCTCGTGTCAAATATTGGTTGATGTTATCATGTTGCTACTTCAACAGCTGATGTATATGAATGTATGGAACTTAGGTGAGATGTTTAAACCTAATAAATGAATAATTACAATTAGGCTTCTAAACCAAGAATTAGGGCAACCTTTCTGTATTTTCTGTTTGCACGCAGCAATTCTCATTCATCACCACTATCAAGCATGTATTGTGTTAGTATATTCTACAGTCAGAAAATTGCAAATAAAGTACCATTTAGTTGGCAAGCAAATGTAGGACTCTGATAACATACAGAAACTGAAATACTACTTAGAATCACATGAATTATATGTTGACCAAGTTTTCTTTGTTTTGAACTCCCTTAATTAGCGAGTTAAAATATCATTTGTTATTTGTCTTCAGTTTCCAACCGAGGAGTACTTACATTTTCCTTTTTCAGCTTTTGGCGAGGCTATGCTACATACTATTGGTTATATTTACAGAAGGCAAGCAGCAAAAGAAATTGGGAAGGATATACGCTTCATGAAGGTGCCATTTTTAGCAGAATGGGTACGAGATAAAGGACACCGCATAAAGTCCCAAGTTTCAGCTGCTTCAGGTGACAATATTAGAATATCTACAATTTTTTGAATTTATGTTGAAGCTTCAAGTGATCAGAATGGAATTCCGTCTATTAATGTACAGGTGCCATCTCTTTGCTTCAAATACAAGAGGAAGTGAGGAAGTCAGCTGAGGGAGAGAATAAAGAAGAAGATGTAATCAAAACTCTAGAGGAAAAGAAAGATGCCATGCTTAATTCCCTTTGGCAGATCAATGTTGTTGATATTGAGACAACTTTATCTCATGTTTGTCAAGCAGTAAGTACTCATTTCAGATCATAAAATTGCTTGGACTTTCTATTAATTAATTAAGAGCTTCAAGATTAATAAAAGCAGAAATTGAGCATAGTTGACATATAGTTGATATGTGTTATTTTCCTTGGATCTTCAGGTCCTTAAAGACCCCAGTGCTACAAAGGAGACTCTCAAGATGCGTGCTATGGCAATGAAAAAGTTGGGAACAATTTTTGAAGTAAGTGCTTTTCATTGCATGGAATTTAAACATGAATTCTTGTTTTAATTTCCTCAGTGTTGCATCCATCTGGAACTGGAAGATGATAGTTCCTTGTATTTGGTTAATTAAGAACACTACGTACTGCAGTTCATCTTTTTTACTTTCTGCATCTGGGGGTGTAGATGTTCATGTTTCTTTCATCATTTGTTCATGTCCTGTAAAACAAGTATTCATGCATTAATTTTGTGTTGCTCCTCAGGGTGCAAAGGCAAATTACTCTAGAGAAAGCAGTCTGCGTCATGAAAGCCCCCAAAATATAGAAGGCGGTTCATCATCCAAGTGAGGCTAATTCTTCATTAATTATATTCTACGGCGTTAATATTTGGTGCTTCAGTAGTTTTTAATTTCGGTGTGGTGGTGTTGTATATTTTGTTTGTAATGTGTAATGCCTTAAATGGTATGGATACTGACAGTTCTTTGTCATTTGGTCTTCTTCTTTCTTGAAACTGGATTCATTGTATGATTCTACTTATAAATTTGAGTGTGAACTTAATCTCTTTATTTATTCACGAACTATAAAATGGGATTCTTCAAAAACGGATAATGGATTCAAGGGACAGTTAATTAATGTCGGCCGGTAAGCAGCCAGCAGGACTGGCTGAATGCTGTACACGTGTCACCTTAATCTTACGTGGCAAGCGGTGGGTTTTTCCCAAATGCTACGTGTGAGGGCGCATGCACTAAAAAGTAAAAAGGTTGGTCCTTTAAATAAACGGAAAATGGATAGGGAATATCTCATTATATTTCTGATCTGTATCCAATCCTCTAATAATCTTGTAAAATGTCTGCTCTTGTACGTGACGAGCATGGCAATCCAATTCAGCTGACGGACCAGCATGGAAACCCCGTATACCTCACCGACGAGCGAGGCAATCCGATGCACCTCACCGGTGTCGCCACCGCCGTTGGCTCCGGCAACGTAGTAACTCATGACACTGCAGTAATCAAACAGCGCCCGGAAGAACCGTACCAACAGCCGCAACTTAACCGCTCCGGCAGTTCAAGCTCTAGCTCGGTGAGATCGATTATCTTCACTACAACTACTATATATACGTTTTATTATTATTATTATTATTATTAACTAATAGATGCAAATATGAATATGGTATGTATGTAGTCTGAAGACGACGGGCAAGGCGGAAGAAGAAAGAAGAAAGGGCTGACGGAGAAGATAAAGGAAAAGCTGCCCGGGAAGAACAAAGAACAGCAGAAGGAGGAGCATTCACACGCGGCTACAGCTACGGTCACCCACGGCGGCGTAACCTCCACTACTACCGGAGGGCTGCACCCGGAGCATCACGAGAAGAAGAGTGTGGTGGAGAAGATCAAAGAGAAACTGCCTGGCTATCATCACTAATTACTATAATTAAGTTATCTTCAGATTATCATCATATCATATAATATATTATAATAATAATAATATAAATAACTTAAAAGTTGTGCTGTTAAGTTAATTATTTCTGTGAGTTGCGTTTATAGCTTTAATTAGTTAGCTAGTTAATTTTGTGCACGTAGTAATAAATAAATATGATTTGTATCATTATAGTGATTGATTTTTTGGGAGATAGGGAGGGGATACCGAACAAACATAGAAAAAAAAAAAAAAAGATTTTGCGTAATCCTACTATTCAGGGTCATTATAGTTTTATTGACCTCAATTTGACCCATAAAAAAGACTTTGCGTACTCCTATTATACAGGGTCATTATAGCTTTATTGACCTCAATTTGACCCATAACATTTCAATTTGACCCATAATATTTTTCAGTGGTTCATGAAACTTAATTTAATCACAATTCTTATTAAGAACAATGACCTCAATTTGACCTATAACATTTTTCAGTGGTTCATGAAACTCGATTTAATCACAATTCTTATTAAGAACAATCTTAGCCAACCAGTCAACAACACGGTTGTAGTTACGGGGGAAAATATTAACTAGAGTGATTGATTTATTCGTTACTATCTAATGCTTCAAATCGTTTTAATTAAAAGTTTAACTGAAGTATATAATATAATATATAAATTTGAGTGAAGCAAAATGTTTCACCCTGGCCCACAAGCCTGGCGAAACTGGACCCAAAGGGAGGGAGTCGAAGCTCTATCATTCATTCATTCCTGGCAAAGTGAAGGTTTTTGTGAGGAGTTAAAATATGGTTGTTAAGCACACAATCCCTTCTTTTCTCTCTTTCGTCGGTCGTCGGAAAATTCTTGTTCCTCTCAACGGGAGGCTGGAAATGGAAAAGGGTCGTCGTGGTTGATGATTGATGGCTACCTTCAATACGCTTCTCTTATCCCTATTGATCATTGTTAATTGTATCATCACCGTTATCCCTGTCGTGAATGCAGAAAACACCGCCTCAGCTCTCCCGGCAAAATCTTTTCAACCGTTTAGTCCGCAAGATAACTACCTCTTCGACTGCGGCTCCAACACCTCCACCATTCTTCCCGGCAACAGAACCTTCCATCCCGACAACTCCACCGCCGAGTTCTTGGCTTACGACGGGAAAGACATTCAGATTTCCGGCCCGGTCCCCGCCGCTAATGTCACCCCCATTTACCGCTCCGCCAAAGTCTTCGCCGCGGATGCCACCTACACTTTTCCGATCACCGCCCCCGGTTGGCATTGGATCCGCCTCCATTTCTTCCCCCTGAACACCTCCCGGTACGACCTCAAGACCGCCAAATTCACCGTCGAAGCCGACAACTTTGTCCTCCTCCACCAATTCGAGCTCCAGAACGACACCACTGTAATCATGAAGGAGTTCCTCGTCAACGTGACGACGGAGCGTTTCCCCTTGAGGTTCAAGCCCAAAGGCACCGTCGCATTCGTTAACGCCATCGAGTTTGTCTCCGCCCCCAATCCGCTCATCAGCGATTACGCCACCATGCTTTTCCCCGTTTCCCAGACATTTGGCCTCTCAACCCACAGCTTTCAGACCGTCTACCGCCTCAACGTCGGCGGCCCTGAAATTGAAACCGACCAAGACTCCTTACAGAGATTGTGGGACCCCGACACCAAATACCTTGACCCTAAGGAAATGGGTAAGTCTATCTCGGTTTCTCCGGCGATCATCTCCTACCTGGTAGTGGAAGGCTCCCCGCTCATTGCTCCGCCGGCGGTTTATGCATCGGCGCAAGAACTCGCCGACTCCAATTCGGTGAAACCTGATTTTAATATCACTTGGAAAATGGACATTAATGTTCATTTCTGGTACCTTATTCGTCTCCATTTCTGTGACATCGTTAGCAAGTCACTGAATGAACTGTATTTCAACGTGTATATCAACGACAAGATAGCCATTTCGGGGCTGGACTTATCGGAGTTGACGAGAAAGTTGGCGACGGCGTATTACAAAGATATTGTGGTGAATTCCACCATGGTTTCCAGTCCGCTGGAGATCAAAGTTTCCCCGGTAGATGACGATGCTCAGGGCACGAGAAATGCCATCCTTAACGGGCTGGAGGTGTTTAAGATGAATAATTCCGTGGGGAGCTTGGACGGAGAATTCGGCGTTGATGGGACCAGAGTGTCGGATGGTAATGACAGCAACCGTCAAACGGTGGCGGCTGTCGGATTCGCGATGATGTTCGGTTCGTTTGTAGGGTTGGGGGCGATGGCCGTTAAGTGGCGGAAGCGGCCGCAAGACTGGCGGCGGAGGAGCAGTATCTCGTCGTGGCTGCTCCCCGTCCACGCCGGAGACGCAACTTTCACGAACCCTAACAAAACTCCGTTAGGATCCCGGCAGAGCTTGTTCTACTCATCAACGTCGGAATTCGGCAGGTATTTCTCTTTCTCGGAATTGCAGGAGGCTACCAACAACTGGGAGACGACCAGAATCATCGGAATCGGAGGGTTCGGCAGCGTGTATTTGGGATTGGTGGACGAGAGAACCAAAATCGCCGTGAAACGAGGAAACCCGCAATCCGAACAAGGCTTACACGAATTCCAGACGGAAATCCAGTTGTTATCCAAACTCCGGCACCGGCACCTGGTATCCCTCATCGGATACTGCGACGAAAACAACGAAATGATCCTGGTTTACGAATACATGTCCAATGGCCCCTTACGGGACCATCTTTACGGCAAGAATTTGCCGTCGCTTTCATGGAAACAACGCCTGGAAATCTGCATCGGAGCCGCCCGGGGACTGCATTACCTGCATACCGGCGCGGCGCAGGGGATAATCCACCGGGACGTGAAGAGCACAAACATCTTACTCGACGAAAAGTTGGTCGCAAAAATGGCAGATTTTGGGTTGTCCAAAAACGCATCTTCCGGGCCGGAGAAGAATCACGTGAGCACCTCCGTGAAAGGCAGCTTCGGCTACCTGGATCCAGAATACTTCAGAAAACAACAGCTCACAGATAAATCAGACGTATATTCCTTCGGGGTTGTTCTTCTAGAAGTAATATGCGCGCGGCCCGCCATTAATCCACAGCTACCAAGAGACCAGATGAACTTAGCGGAGTGGGCAATGCAATGGAAGAGAAAAGGGTTGCTAGAAAAGATCATAGATCCCACCCTGGCGGGGCAAATAAACCCAGAATCAATGAGGAAATTTGCAGAAGCTGCAGAGAAATGCTTAGCAGAATACGGGGCTGATAGGCCTACCATGGGAGATGTGCTGTGGAATCTTGAATATGCATTGCAGCTGCAAGAGGCGTCTACAATGGGGAAAACCGACGACGAAATCAAGTCGTTTGCAGGGCCAAGTTCCCCGGCTGTGCTTTCGCCCGCCACTGCCTCCTCTAGCAATCCCTTCAGTCATGAGTAGTTTGAAATCAGCAGCAGCCTGTTAGTATTAGCACCCAATTCAAGAGTGAAGAAGCAGCAGCAACATAATCTCATCCTTAGTTACAATGTTAGTTTTATGTTGCAATGTCTTTAACGTTAATTCATCACTTGTACATAGTTGTAGGCAGGGTTGATCAGATAGATAGATGATTGTGGGTCCTTTTTGTATTCCTTCCTTCATATAGTACAGTGTTTTTTTTAGTACTACTGACTGTGTTAGCTGATTACTAATCGATAATTCGATAACTGTTTTGATAAGCTTTTTAACAAAAAGCTAAATAGTTGTTAGCTGATTACTGATCGAACACTCATATTGATTGTTAATTAATCAAACACTCATATTGATTGTTAATTGTTTTGATCAGCTTTTTAACAAAAGGCTAATTAATCAAACACTTATATTGATTGTTTAATTAAATCAAGCAGCTAATAATGATCAAATAAACTAAAATTTAATAACTATGTTATCAAACCGGGCCTAAATCTTGGAGAGTTTCCGTGTATATAGCTTCCATCCCATTTCTATCATATGGACCCAGAAAGCAAAAAAGTAGCTATAAGAAGAGAATGAAGAAAAATGCAATGACAAAAACTACACTAATCATGTATCCTTAAACCAACATTGTTTCCAAGTCAGAGTCGACGCTCGTTTAAATGATTAGGAACAAATCAAAATGTGATCAACCGAGGGGTTTCAAGTATAAGTTAAAATTGAAGGGTACAGCACCTAAGGATTAATTCAGGAGTTAAAAAACTAGAACAATCAATACTTTGTTTCCTCCTATAAGGTACAAGAGAGACTAGTAGATATCCCGGAAAATCATTATTGAACCCTCTGCTTCTTGCTACCATCGGAATTCCCATCGAGCGTAACAAAACCATCCCCATCATCATCGAGTTCTTCCACCTTTCTATCGGGGTTGGTGTCACACAACTTTCTTTTCTTTCCAGGAGAAATTGCAGTGCCGGTTGGAAGAATTTCCAAGTCGTCATCCTCGTTGGCATCCAGAGGGGCAGTTTGGGAAGCAGTAGACGAACTTGCCCCGTTGTCATGTGTTGTCTTATTGTTGTTTTCACTCGCCAAAACTGGAGTCCATCCCGATAGAACCATGCCATCGGGATCCTTCTCCTCATCAAACTCTTCCCTGATATAACAAAAGATACAATATCATCGATCATCAAATGAGAAAATAATCATTCTTTCCTTACAATCACAACTAAACAAAATTTAATGGAAGCAACAAACCTATGTTTAATGTTGATATTGCAGGTAAGCTCCTGCTGAAGATCCTCAACGTTGACAATGGTACCACCATTAACAGGAGGTCGAAGCTCACATAGCACCTAAAAAAGATCGAAATGAATAGAAGCATTTTACTATAACAACATAAAGATAACTCCAAAAACGAAAGAGGTAAAGGAAAAAGTAACATACCTTGTCCAGGTTTGCTGCATAATTCTCAACCATTTTTTCATCAAGATCGTCTCCCACTTCATAAAGAAGTGCTGCTCCATTCATTATCAGAGGCAAATTCATGCCAAGCTTTGCTTTCACAATCTTTTCAACAAAATCTCTCAATTTTGCACTATGAGTATTGATCTCAAGTGTCAAAGGAGTCTGTTAACAAGTATAGCACGGGATCAAAATAAAGTTAATATCAAAACGACTTCAGTTAAACATATGCATTTTGCTCATGAATTTAAGTTTATACCTCAGAACACACGTAGCAGGATTTGTTGGGTTCAAATGGCTCGACTGGCATAAGAAGCATTTTTTTGGAAGGATGTTCAAGACAATATGTCATCCTACAAATTAGAATGGCAGTCGTAATACGTCAAAACTAATAGGCTTGGGATATTAGGAGGTCTACTAAGACTACTTCACCAGGTATTAATATTAAAAGTACCCAATAAAAAAAAAAAATTTAATTGTTGCATTTAGCTTCCTCGAGTAAATAACTGGACTTGAGGAATTTGACCCATTTACCACTTATCCAATACAAAATAAGAAATTCAACTTACCTATAGTCTTTTACGTCATTTTGCAGCACCTTAATTGCCTCGATCACAATCAATCCAGCAACAATAGCATTTGTTGTAGCAACAGCATGCACAATATTGCCAGCAATACCTTTTGATTCAAAAAGGCTATGCAATGGGATACCGAAAGAAGATGCCCGAATATTAGCGGCAGCAGTTACAAATTCCACAGCTAACTGATCATCTTTGTCAAAACTCAAGTTACCAACATCCTGAAGAGGGAGGGGATAGAGTTTAATAACCATAAGCATGTAACATAACAGAGTAAATGCCAAACTAGAGGAAATAAAAAAACACATACAAAGCCAGGCATCATGTCAAACCTTCGGCCTTTCCGAGAAAAATAGCTTTAGTGCTTCTAGAAATACTAAAGTGTTTTCTTTCAGGCTCCACAGCTCCTGAGGATTTTTAAGACCCAGTAATGTCATTGCAGAAACTGAAGAGGGATCACTGGTTTTTGAATTTCTATCTCCATTTCCATTTCCATTCGGTTCAGTCTCTTCAGATGATAACACATCTTTAATGCGGATAGGCCTCGGCTTGTTGCGATTCTTCCATGTTTCTTCATTTGACAGAGCTACCTCAATGTTATAACCGAAAACATGATCATATATTCTCCTCCCATACTGTTCGATATCTTCACCTTCTCTACGCTCAAAGACATCTTCCACATTCTCTGACGAACTAGAAGCATCATTAGAACGGACATTTAGATCATTTGCCTGATTCTTGTCCCCAAAAAGCTTTGCAAAAAGCAGATCTTTTGCCCATACAATGCAGTGAACAAACTGAAAATATCAAAAGTTGTGTCAAAGCAGATTCTTAAAGGGACAAGTCATACAAAATCATGCAAAGTGGAAGCCTTATGACAAGCCCAATCTGCTTAATATTCAACAGCACATAATAATCATGTCAGAAATAGAATGAGCCCACATCTATACTCCCAACATGATAGTAACACCAAATAGAGTAGAGTAGTTGAACAAGAAATTTTGTTTAACGAGAATAGCTTTCTGGAGAAAAGATGTCACCAATACCTTTGAAGGAGTACTTGTAATCGTGCACACAGGGTAACTCTTAGGAGCTGGTTTAGGCTGGCACTCATAACATTCTGTTTTTCCTTTCACATGCACAGTAACCTGGTAGGAACAAGAGGCAAAACCACATGCATATTATTGACAGGCAGACAGGAATATGTGCATGTGTGTCTGGAAGAAAAAGAGAAATGCTCCTTTTTCACTTGTTCTTTATTATGTTTGGATAAGCTTATGACTTTTGAAAACCATTTTTAAGGTTATTTTCACAAACTATTTCATCAGGCTTATTTAAATAAGTTGAAAGAAAAAACTTTCATAGACCAGATAAAAGGGAAAATCCTTATAAGCTGTTTTGAGCTTATTAAAAAGTATTTATCGTCAAAGCACTTAGTTAAAGCTGTTTATCAAAACTGGCTCATAACATCATAATCAGTTTCCCTATTTACACATCGTCAAAAACTTTCATCTTACCCTAATCAGTTATCAAACACCCGTGAATAATCTATAAGGTGGCAACAGTACCTGTCCAAGGAATCCAGTTGTCCCACTCTCAACCAATGGAACACCAGCTGCCAAGCAAAGGCGGTTCACATGTCGCCTAGCATCTAAATTGTCAAGCCCATTTAGAACAACATTGAATTCCTTGAAGAAATCAACACCGAAGTTGGGATCTTTAACATTTGCATGGTAAGGTTCAATTTTTATTCCAGGCCTAAATTTTAAGACAGCTTCCCTAGCAACCTGGGTAAGATTTTGAGAAAGCATTATAACAGGAGAACTTTGAATATGCCAAAATATTGCAACTTAAGATATGAGAAGAAACTCACTTTGGCTTTAGATTGGCCGACATGAGACTGCCGGAATAAAAACTGTCTGTTTAAGTTGCTTACTTCTATTGTGTCCATGTCAATCTGCAAAGTAGTACAAGGAACAATGACAAATTAAAACCCCAAAAATTAAATACATGTGGATCAAATCGTTAATCATTTATATAAACCAAGCTGTAAAGTGTATACATATCTTCTAATATATATATCTACTTGATATCAAAACATAGGTGGAACCCGTCCTGCCAATTGAAGTGTCAAAGACAGCAGTGACAATCAGTCCAATTTTCTCATTTGTCACATTTTGACACATAACAACAAAGCATTGCAGATGCCATAGCTCCATTGTTTACATACATTCCTCATAATTTCATGAAACTACTCCAATCTCATCAGTCACTACTCACCAAGTCCTATCATTTTACAGAAATTCTTGTTTTTTCCCTCAAATATAGAATTTCACTAGTTCCCAATCCTAAGATTTAACTTCAACTCTCAGATAACTACCCTTCAACATCCATAAATGGATGAAACTTTAGTTTAGGGGTAATAAAATTCACTTAGACCTAATCAAAGAATCATCTTAAAAAATCACAACTGAGTTTAGCCTGCAAATAAATAAATAAAAATTCATGAAAGGAGCAAATTACAGAAAGCAAAACCATCTAAGGCATGCCCTTTTCACTTAGTTTTTCCAGCCCACTCAACCAGAAAGTGGCTTCGTATTATCATTACAAACACCAGAGATACCCCAGCCATTAAACCCCAAAAAGTTCATCATAAACCCTAAAATTCATGTTTTTAAAATCGAGAATACTCCAAAAGTAGGGCAGAAATTCAACTCACGATGTGAATGTCTTGAAAGCCAGAGAGAGCAAGGTTTTTTAGAAGCTCACAGCCAATGCCACCGGCACCAACCATGAGTACTTTTGCGGCCTAAAAACAGTCAAATAGCGCCATCAGTTGCAATAAACTCAAGCGAGAAATTCAGAAACTGATTGGAGCAAAGAACCAATTTTGCAGACCTCATACAGTGTCTGTCTCAGAAACACATACCTTGATTGCGGACATCTGTTCCTCGGAAGCCATGAGATGAGAGGAGATAAAGAGAGATACTGAGAGGGTAGAGTGTGACGTCGTACGATAGCACCACGTTGTGTACTACATAGACAGACAGAAAGGAGAATCTAGACGGGGTTTGGCCGGAAAATTCGAGTTCGAGTTCGAGGAAAGTACTCTAAAAGAGAAATCTCTGTCGCTGCACGAAGGCGTAATCACTGCTCAAAATGTTCTTGTCCTGTACTCCGATGCGGCATGCCTTTTTAAACTTCTTCGCAGGCTGCGCTTCTACTTGCCGATACTGCTAAGGTCAAACATTGCCGTGTTTTCTTGATTTTAAGTTTTTTTTTTTTTTTACACTCCTAAAAATACCATAACCTAACTATGCCAAGAACGAAGTAACATTGTATTAATCATTACGAAATTAACTCTCAACTCAATCAAACGATTTTTTTGCACTTTTGGTCCCACGACTATAGTGGCACTAGCAGAATTGATCCACGACTTTTGAATTTTGCAATTTTAGTCCACGACTATTGATTTTTTTACAAAAATGGTCCTTCCGGACACTTTTCCGTCAAAATTCCACCGATTTTTTTTTTTTATCCATTTTTAACAGGGCTAAAATTGATATTTTACTTATCTCAAAATATAAAGGAAATACATAAAACGGAAAGGTAAAAGCGATTGCATTTGAGAATCTTCGTCGCTTCTCTCGCCGGAAATCTATACAACGAAGCTTTTTCGATGTCTTCGGATGATCCCGCAGGCGTGCTGGCTCCGCCTCCAATGCTGCTGCCGGATAACCCAACTAGCCCAGGGAACGCCACGGCCGCTCCGCCGCTTACTGACAGCCCTACCTGCTCCAGGAACTCCGCCGCCTGGGGCAGTAGTATGTAGCCCAGTAATTTGTATGTAGTCAAATGTCAATTTTTTTCTTTTATTTTTTGAGATAAGTAAAATGTCAATTTTAGCCCTGTTAAAAATGGATAAAAAAAATTTTCCGGTGGAATTTTGACGGAAAAGTGGCCGGAAGGACTATTTTTGCAAAAAAAACAATAGTCGTGGACTAAAATTGCAAGGTTCAAAAGTCGTGAATCAATTCTGCTAGTGCCACTATAGTCGTGGGACCAAAAGTGCAAAAAACTCTCAATCAAACTCCAATCTTTACCCATCCATCTTCTTTAATTTATAGAAGAAGCCCACGTGGTGTTTGGTAAATGACTGTTAGCTGATTGTATTAGTGAGTTTGACTGGTTATAGAATTAGCTGATTGTAGAAAAGTGTTTGATAAATTAAATGTTAGCTGATAACTAATTACATTGATTTTTTCAAAAAGTTAGTTGAAAAATATACTTTGAACAGCTTTTTAAACTTTAGCATTTTGAAACAAATAAGTTATTACAAAAAGCGTTGAGGCTTAAATCTATCACCTCCCACATAGGGAAGCAACGTGGTACTATCGGACTACAAAGTCCTTGGTAGTTGTTACAAAAAGCTAATTAATCAAACAATCGTATTGGTTCCAGGACTATGTGGTCCAATGGTATCCGGGTTGGACTTCCATTTGGAAGATTATGAGTTCGAGCCTCAGTGGAGACGTTATTGGTTCTCTGTGTTTCAGTAGGTTGAGAAAGTATATGAACAGATACTACAATGTAATAGAACCAGTAGCATTCAAAAAAAAAAAAAAAAGTATTGATTGTTTAACAAAGTCAAAAAACTAAATTAGCTGGTATTGATTGTTTAACAAAGTCAAAAAACTAAATTAGCTGATATGCTAATTATTTTACCAAACAGAACACACATCTATTACTTGAAAAAAATACCTTTTTAGATAAAACCCATCTTGTAAATTGTAATCGTTCAATTTTAGACTAATAGGCTGCTCTCGTAAAAAGTCAAACTTAAAATTTACCAAGCTCCATCCTCTAACTGTGCATATTGTAGAAGAATAATCTTGTATTAATATATGTATATACTTATTTTTTGTCAGACCACGTCTTTACTCAACGAGTCAAAATTTTATAATATGGTGTGTTTAGTAATCGAAAAAATTATTTATTTACATGGAGAAAAAAAAAAAAAAAAACCCTAAAGAAACAAAAAAGTGATACAACATACATATTAGCATAACACAACCTTTTATTTTTGTTCTTTCCATACCAGGAAAAGAGAAACGTGAAACCTATAAGAATCTAGACTTATTACACCCACCATATAACAAAAGTTTCGAGGCTAAACTCTATAATGTTGTAATCTCCAGTAAATGTGTACTCCCCCTATAAGGCTATAAAAAATGCTGATAAGGATTTCAAAGGAGATATTGTCCTTTCAATGCGGTTCTTTCTGTCATCCAAGAGATGGAACCATCAATGTTTAGCTCATTGAAATATACCAAAACAGTCTTACAAGTGTTCTCAAGTGTATCAATAAAAAGATTTAAAAAAAAAAAAAAAAAAAACAATTTACAGATCAATCTTTGCTATAGAGAGTACAATGTGCTCCACAGCTTCTGCTCCTCGTTCTTTATCTGATAACGGTTTCAAAACTCGAAGAGATGCTGTCATGCTACAAAATCGTGGAAGAGATGGGACGAGCCAAACTGGTGCTGCCTGTTCTCGGGATCTATGTAGTTGAAATCACCCGCCTCGGGCTCCACAGAAGAAGCTGAAGGAATGTACACGTCGTCTTCCCTTGTTGAGACAAAATTATGGCTGCCCTCGCACTGTTGCAATCCCAACGTTAGTGAAACTCCATTCCCATTCCCATTCCCATTCCCATTTCCAAACCTTTCGAGCTCTGGCATGTGGTAAGCAGATGCAGGATACATGAATCTATTGTGGGCTCCATTTGACTGCAGAACTGTATCTGCAGCCCCTCCTCGATCCCCCGTCTCGTACTGACTATCAGTTTCCACGTGGTCTCCATCTCGGAAACTGATGCCAAGATTTGATTCCACCATTTCTACGTTAGAAGCACGATTGGACTTCGGCTGAAACAATTTGCCACTGATGCATGATGGCTCATCTCCGGGAGAAGTTGCTGGTGGTTGGAAACCTTTTTCCTTTTCATCGAAGGCCTTAGTATCACTTTCTGTCGCTTTTGGTGCAATTTCAGATGAAGAATTGGAATCGAATTCAGCATCACCAAACTCTTCTTTGTATATTTCTTCAACCATGGGCTTCCAAAGTCGCACTCGGGCATTGATGAACCAGTTTGAGACCTGAGCTTATAGAAACATTATGACATCAAGAAAACCGGAAAAGCATAGCAATTAACATCATCTTTTTCAAGGAAAATTTAAGATTGGCACAGCTAGTTTGCCTGGATATGCTAATACTTAAACAATGAAATATGCATACCTGGCCTCTTGTTAGGCCAGTTTGCCTTGCTAGCATAGCTTTATCAGAATCTTTTGGGTAGCTGAAAAAGAAGAACCATTTAGATTAGCTCGAACATGTCTAACAAAACGAACAAAATAAGAATGGTAAGGAAAAAGCTATAAAGTACTAAATAACATTTTGGACTCACGGATGAAGAAAGTGCTCAAACAACCAAGCACGCAAGATTGAAACAGAGCTCTCGGGTAGCCCCCTTTGTGGTCTCCAAGCGTGTGGTTGCATCATACCAAGTTGCTGAAGCGCTCTCTGTTGTCTGAGCTGCTGATCCACGTAACGAAGGCGAGATATTCCAACCCCTTTATTATTATCCGCTACATCTTGGTCGCCAAGGCTCTTTTGTAATACTCGAATCTGGCCACTTATTGCATCACGTAAACAGCGGAAGTGACGGGAGATTGTCAGAAGTGCAAGAGCCGTGTAAGGTTTAGCTGCCCCTTCACCAGCTACAACGTCAAATGAAGACACCACCATATGCATCTGATGGTAATATTGTCTGTACCTTCTATCAATCTGTGGCAATTAACATATTATATTTTCAATAACATTCCCCAACAATGCAAGTGTGTCTCGAGAGAAACTTGGAGATTAATAAAAACTGGTAGGTACAAAGAGTTGGATAAGTTTATTTACCTCATCCAGCATAGAGAAAAGCTTTGTGAGTTTGTTTTGCAGTTCCTGCTTGTCATTTGCCGAAAGCTCATTTGGTTCTTGTGGGTTCGAAGATGATCCAGTCACGGGAGGATCTGAGGATTTACAGTTCGAATCAGCATCTACTTCATTCGTACCATTTACCTCCACTTTAGTAGAACCGCGCTCCTTTACAGCTTTCTTGACATTAACTACTTCATCGAGTAATTGTTGAGCAGCTTTCAAGTACTTAGAGTCTGGGAAAGCCCTCCCGATACTTGGCATCCCATATGGAGAACCATCCATTTTCATTGCATCATAGCTGCTCGGAAAGCCAGGAAGCAGATACTCCATGGCCCTTGATTGTTTTGCGTGGGAATCATCAATATCTCCAAAAGATCTATTCCCGCCATTGCCTTCACCCGGAATGGATGGAGGACTCAAGAACGATGTGAAGCCTTGGGAAGGATTCTGAGGTGAAACTTGAATTCCCGCTGGGATTTGCGTGCCAAGACTAAGGGATAATCCTTGACCCTGCATGCTATGTGCAGTTTGAAGAACATCTAGAGCACCTCCCATGGGGTGGTGCATCATTAGCATCTCATTCCTATTATCTTTCCACATACTCAAATCATGTGCTCCAATCTGCGACCCTCTGATGCTTGAAATTCCCTGTTGTGATCCAATAGACGGAATATCAGTGTAGCGACTTTGCTCCTGAGAGCTCTCAGCTATGGTGTCAGAACATAAACCAGACGAAGATGAATAGTTCATAAACATCATAATATTCCCAGGAACAGCTTGTGCTTCTGAATAAGAACCAGGCAAAGATTCCCTTGAATACAGAAAATTCGAGGCATCTTTCTGATTGTTGGAACTGGAAAAATAAGTAGCCATCTTTCCTCTAGGTCATCACCTTATAAGTCTTAAAGATTCTGATTACACAATCATAGCATCCTGCAAATTAAAAAATGCCCAGAATAGAGCAACAGTTACCCATTTAACACATGATAATTAGAACTAAACATTGTATATGAAAGTCACCCATTAACAAATGGAAACCTGATTTATAACCTAGCAGAAATTTTGCAGAAAATAAACATGTTAAAGCCATGGATACAAAGGACTGATCAGACCATTTATAACACATCACAACTGACATAAATTTCAGGTCAACGTTCAAGAAGGATGGTCTCCTCTTGCATTTGCAAAAAAGAAATTTCATTGTATTTACAGAAAGCTAGAAGAAAGTTATGGCTAGATAACTATGTCAACGTCAAGTAATACTAAAAATTAGAATCTGAAAGGTTCAATTTCAGCATTCAGCAAAAGAAAAGAGCAAAAATTACAGGAAAAGAAAAAAAAAAAAGAATGAATAAAATATAAAGTCAAAACAGATAAATAATTGTTTACAGAACACAATACCTGGAAACCTGTATCAAATTGTATCTTGTTGGGGAACAGAACAGCTCCGATCTGCGGAACCAATCTTCCTTGTATCCAAACATAAAAAGTTTCAGTGCTGCGAATCCGAAGTAGCAGAAGAAATCATCACTCCCTTTCTTTGCCCTTGTTCCTTTCCTTGTCAAAAATATCATCTATCCATCATTCTATCCATACCCACGTGAGAGTTAACAGTGACTATACAGAATCACGCACGTACACACATCTCTTTCTATCATTTTCTCTCTCTCTCTCTCCCTGTATCTACATGAAAGCTCCAAAAAAGGTTTCTTTTATTATGTAGTGTGAGAAGAAGTGAAGAAGTTCAACAAGACAAACCATTGCTTTCTCTTTGAATCTCCATATCTGTTTTTGGGCATTGCTTTGTTGTGTTTGGTATCTCCTTATTGTTGTGATTTGGTGTTTGCTTGACTTGCTTCTTTGAATTTGATTGGTTAAGGAGTGCAATCCCTAACTACCAGTTGGTAGACCTAAACCCTCCCTTAAACCTCCGTGGATATAAAGGCCACTTGGCGTTGATGCAATGCCCACCATATATCCTCTTCCTTTTTTCTTTTTTTTTAATCTATTGGTATTTGTTATCCTTGTCTTTATCAATTTTTTTTTTTAATACTACAGAAATCTAGAAAAGACAATATCAGCTTCATATGTAAATAAATGAGGATGACCACATTATAAAAGTGTTTAAAAGATTTGCAAATTACACGCTTAAAAAATGATAAAGCATTATCAATCCCTCCTTACGGGCGTTCTAGTTGTTTCAATAAGGTGATAACAAGTGTTCATTAGTTCATTCAAGTAATTATTGAATATAAAAGTTTTGTTTGGTTTTCTAGTGGATGATGTTAAAGAATTGACATCTATGGTTAATGATGTCAAATTTCGTTCTGTTTGGCGATTTGTGAATTGTGCTGCTCATATTGTTGCTCGGGAGGCTTTTTTTTATGTCAAGTTGAGGGAATGGTTTAATACCCCTCATTTGTTCCTTGTTGTTGACTGTCTTCATCATGATTTATTGAATTAAGTTTTTCTCCTCAAAAAAGTTTTATTATTACATCAAAAAATAAGGATTGAAAAGTTAAAATAAAAATATATTGTATGTGTTTAGGAAAGATAATAGATGTGCTGACTTTCTTGCTAACCTTGGTTACACTAAGGGTTGTGGCACAACGATTTTAGAGGATCCTCAGATGAGTTGCTGGAATTTATTTTAGCTGATGCGGGAAGAGCTGGATTCAGAAGAGTCAAATAATATCCGTTTAGAGCGGGACAGACGCACAAAAAAAGGCATAGCAAATTAGCAACTAAAGTAAGACATAAATAGGAAAATTTAGTTGAAAACAATGTAGAAGTACATATTGAATACATGTAATATTTTAAAATTTTAATTAATTGGAAAAATAAGTATGACGAAAGTAAATAAATATTTGTGCAATGATGTAACGTTAGTTGAGTGCTCATACCAAACTCTTTTAACAAATCATCTAGCCGGCTAAAAATGCCAGCATTGCAAGTTGCAACGTTATTCATGTCGTTTTGGAGCATCTTATACTTTATTAAAAAAAAAAACAAACAAACAAACAAAGAAACCTTATATAAATTAAATACGAAATTACTATTCTCAATCTGTATTTCGTATGACAAATTTTCATACATAGAAAGATAAAACACAATAGGTCACATAAATATTGAGTAATGGACACTTTAAAATACTAAAAAAATCTTCAGGCCAGTTATCCCATCCAAAAGAGGTGCCTATAATTCAGAAAGGAGATTAGTCACTATGTCCGACGATGAAAATCATTGGTACACCAAAAAAAATTTGAATTGTACACGTGACGGAAGTTATACCTATAGAAGTACATATATATCATTTTTCATTTCATAATCGTCTCAACTAAGAAAAAATGAGAGTCTATGTAGTTACATTTTTTGCTGGGTATAAAATTAATAAATATACAGTATATTACTCCATACAATCTTAATCAAATAATAAATATTTATAATATAACTGAAAAAATTGGTGACTAATAACTTTATATATATGTTAAAAAAAATATAATATAGTCTTATTATATTAATAAAATTCATAATAAAACATATTTTGTCCTGACTCAATTGGGTAAGGTATTGTATTTTTTATTTGAAACACAATTTTATATCAACAATGCATGGTCCATGATAAATTATTAAATTGCAACAACAGCCAGGTCAGCATACAGTACTTTACTTTATCTGCTAGATGTTCCTCATTTTCTTTTTATTTTTATTTCGTTACAAATTGATTAAAGAATAATGATATATTATGATTATTATCTTATGATTTCACCTCCTAATTTATTATAATTAACCCAATAAAAAGTAAAGATAATCACGCTTCACCAATTTGACCATCCTTCTCGGAGTTGTCTCTACTCTTTTATATTTTTTTTTTGGTGAGGGTCTCTACTCTTTTATCTTATACCACTTTATAGGCTAATTATTTTGTGGACCCGGGTTCACCTTGCAAGGTGAATTTGAGTCGAAAGGTTCACAATTTATTTTTTAAAAATTCATAATTTGTATACTACGGACATGTAATGTTAACATATATGTAATTGATTACCTTGTTTTGTATTTACAAGTTCCTTTCAAATACTGCAGTAACACAATATTAACAAATTATGATTTAATAATATTGTATTGTATTCACAAATTTCTTGTATTTTGACTTAGAAACACAATTTATATTCTAGAAATTCACAATTTCAATTCTAAAAAATACATAATTTATACGTCGTTTAAGACTATAATCTACCTTGCAAGGTGGACTCTTGTCCATGGTATAACAACTCCACTTTATACTGACATTATAAGCATTGGCAATTATTTTCAACTATATTCATTATTTGAGGTTCTTTGGACATAGGATGGTATGGACTAGTATTTCAGCATTCAACAATTGTGACGTATGATGTGAGATGTCTGGGCCTACATGGGCGATAGCAGTGGGCCAATTACCTATGTAATACCCATAAAATCTTCTCCTTATGAACTCAATCGTTATGCCTTGGACCCGTGTCCAGCATGCTTGCTGGACACGGGTAACAGTGCCGTTAGGCACTGTTATTTCCTTTTTTTTTTTTTTTTTTTTTTTTTAATTTCAGATTACTTTGTTATAGAAGTATATGTTCATAATTTTATTACTATATGTTAATAACTATACATTCATAACTCCATAACTGTACGTTCATAACTCTATAACTGTACATTCATAACTCTATAACTGTACATTCATAACGTCATAACTGTACATTCATAACTCCATAATTGTACATTCATAATTTTCGAAGCTCTATGTTCACAATTTTAGAGCTCTATGTTCATAATTTTATCACTATATGTTCATAATTGTAAGTTCATAATGTTAGAGCTCTTTGTTCATAATTCGATCAATAACTGTACATTCATAATTCCATAACTGTAGATTCATAATCTCATAACTGTAGATTCATAACTCCATAACTGTAGATTCATAACTCTATAACTGTACATTCATAATCTTCGAAGCTCTATATTCATAATTTTAAAACTCCATGGTCATAATTTTATCACTATATATGTTCATAATTGAAAGTTCATAATGTTAGAGCTCTGTGTTCATAATTTCATAATTGCATAACTGTACATTCATAACGGCATAACTGTACATTCATAATCAAAAAAAAAATAAAATAACGCCGTTAACGGCAAAACACGCGCGAAATTTTTTTTTTTTTTAACTAAATGACGCGTTTTTTTTTAAAAACGACGTCGTTTTGGGCCCGTGTCCACAATTCAATGTGAACACGGGTCCAGAGCATAATTTGCCTTATGAACTAGTGCACGTCATTTGTTTTCATCAGACGATACCAGTGGGCCCATTACTTTTTCTTTTTTTTCCACACAGATTTTGAGTTTTGACTGAAGTATGGAGATTGCACCATGCACCAGTCTTCCCAATTCCCATCCAGACTTGACTTGAGTCACAATGATTTCGGGCCGAGGTAAGAGGACCTTTGGAGCAAGGGAATTTTGCCTTTTGTAGACATGTTTTATGTTTTTCTAATGACAAGCTCAATGAGGGCATTTCAAACTATTATTGATTCAAATGTAAAGTTAATCTCCAAGGAGTTCACTAAAATACAGAGAAAAAGAGAGGATAAAAGTTATGGTATCAGAAGATGGTAGTTGTAGAATCATCAACTGGATGCCAAACTCGGTTCGAAACCCACATTGAATCTGCTTCCACTGCATATCCATCTTGATTGCAATGCCAGCTATAGTATGCGTGGGTTCTGTTCTTGATGTCAAGTGTGGCATGCCCAAAACTCGCCTCGCGAAAAGCCGAGTATTCTGGCTGTGGTTCTGTCATGCTGCAACCCAAAAATAAACTCGAGATGAAATCAGTTAGTCTGCTTCTGCAAATGAGACCACATCATCAGATCATATCAATGAAGTCTGAAATATAATAGAATGATATATCTCACATGGTGGCCAAGCCTTCATGGTTTCCTCCATCACCAATTGTGATGTATATAGGGGCAGATTGGTTTCGGACAGGCGTGCATTTCCCATTTACAATGTTGTACGCCACATTCGATATGCGCTCCTGCAACCAACATAAACAGCTAATTTATCACACACATTTCTACAATCAGTTAATGTTATCAACTAGTTAATTATACCCTCTAATTAACCCAATCAGCTAACAACCATTTACCAAACAGGGCCGACACTAATTAGACAAGGTTTGGTTTCACATACCGAGCGTTCATAAGCATGAACATGACCAGCAAAAACAACATCAACTTTGTGCTCCACAAACCATTCCTCGTACATTACTCTCATAGTTTCTCCTTCCATATAGTGATAGTCATAGCTGTTGTACCATGGAGCATGCATAAGAACAATCAACCATGGTGTCTCGTTCCTGTTAACTTTTGTCAGCTCCTGTTTAAGCCACATGTATTGAGGGGTGTATTTGCCTATAAATTAAAAAGCATCAACTTTTAGAGGATATAAACATGAATTAAGTAATAATTGTGTCAATTTTCTTACCATATGCTGAATATGACGACAGAACTATGATATATGCTGAAGCTCTCTTGATTGAGTACCAAAGAGGAGCAGTGCTATTTGATGCTTTATAGGGAACATGAAACCGGTTAGTAAAAGGTTTGAAGGGTTTTGTTTCGCCCTGCAAGAGATTGACCCTTAATTGTCAGAACATCATGGTAGAACCATCAAAATGAATCCTTTGTTGAGAGTTAAAACAACAAGATATGAGTAAAAGGAATTTGGTTTTCTATGATTACTCACAAGATCAGGGGCAAAATCTATCTCGTGGTTTCCTGCAGCCCAAATCCAAGGTTGATAAGCAGCACTTCTCTCAACAAACCTACCCCATGTATCCCATCTTACATTATCATGGTTAGTATAAGTATCTGCATATGAGAGGTCGCCAACAAACAGAACTGTTTGCCCCTTTCTTGGATTTAATTCATAATGTGTGAGTGTCCGGTTTGAGGCAAAACTCTGTCCAAGATCCCCTGCAACAAAACAGCTCAACAGACTTCCCAGGTGAAGGGTATGAATAGCTAAGCATTCATCCCATTTCCTCACCGCTTTCCAAGAGAAAAAACATAGCTTTCAAACTGGACCGACTGCATTAAAATACGACTCCTAGCTACAACTTCCATCAGGATATCAGGTAAAGAATGGTTTACCTATAAGACCAAACGTATAGGGAACATCAGGCCCAACTTCAGGAGGTGTCATGAACCAGAAGGTTCGAGTCGTGTTCCCAATCCCCACCTCATAGTAGTATTTGGTGTTGTACTGCCAATTCAATTAGAAATCAATCCCAGAAGGTATCTCAATCAAACACAAATCAGAAAAGTTGTATATGGAAATAACTACCTCAAGATCCCTAATGGTGCAATGGTGAATGTAACCCGAAGTATAAGTGAAGTATTTATAGGTTTTCATTTTTCCTTTGGCCTCTTTCTTGTGTTTGCTGTTCTCACTCCAGTACAGCACTGTATTCGAACCCGGTTCATCCACAGTCACCCATGAAACAATCATTGCTTTCCCCGCAACATCTCCTTGTGTGATATGAACCTTTCACAAACCACCCACCATTTCAGTGCGCAATTAAACAGCTCAATACAGCTAAAAACCTTAAACTCAACCTCAAAACAGCTTGCTTTTCTATGCATTTTCTTAAAAACTTGAACTTTTGAAGATGCCATTGTTAAGAAAGCAAGAATTCAAACCAAAATTTAAACTTGTGAAGATATCATAGCTAAGAAAGCGAGAATTCGAATACCCAGACCTGTTGAGGCGCATTATATCCGGGAGGCACGCGGAAGACATCACTGTCGAGCGGCATATCCGCACTTTTCTCGACCTTCCGAACATAACTGCTGCTGATTCCGGCGCTGCACAGAATGGCGGCACTGAGAACCACTCCCAGCACAACCGCGACCACATAGTATCTCGTTCTTGGCGCGCCCATCTTTCTCGTACTGCGCACAAACCTCAGCTTTGTCTGTCCTTAGACAGCACCTACGCATATATATATGCACCGTGTAATATAGTACGGAGTATCTTGGAAAAGTCATAAAGAAAATAGTTCTTATATGTTTATATCATGAAATGATCATGCGAAAGACTTGTGGAGACCGGAGAGTGAGTGCCGTAATGATTGGTGGAACAATGGTAAACGACGCAGTGCAGAAGTGGAGGACAAGAGGAAGGTTCTCAGACTTGGTCTTCCAAAATTAATTATCAAGATTGGAAATTTGATTTTATGGCATCGTATTATTGAAAATTTGTTGGTGGGGCGTCACAATCCTGACTATTCTATTTTGGTAACGACCACTATTATTAGATAATTGACTTGGTTAAACATTCTATAGTGCTTTTTTCTTAAAAATCTATTGCTCCAAAACACTAGAATTCAAAAAGCTGCTTAACTAACAACTGATTTTGAGAAAATAATTTTGCATTTAATCAGCCAACTAAATTATTAAACATTTTTCTACAATCAGCTAATGCTATTAACTAGTCAAATTCCCTAACCTAATTATTTACCAAACACTTCCTAAACCCTATTACACATTTTGTTTTCCGCCACACAAAGTTGATTTTTTTTTTCCTTTCTAAAGTTATCTGTTTTATATGAGATTATGGGGTGATATTTAAAGTGAATTCGAGACATGTTTCGTGATTTTCTCATGACAAGCCCAATGAGGGCGTTTCAAACTATTATTGATTCAGATGTAAAGTTAATCTGCATGAGTTCACTAAAATACAGAGAAAACAAAAAGATACAAGTGAAAAAAGTGGCTTGTGGCAATCACAATTTGGTAGTTGTAGAATCATCAACTGGATGCCAAAATCGGTTGGAAACCCACATTGTATCTGCTTCTACAGCATATCCATCTTGATTGCGATGCCAGCTATAGTATGCGTGGGTTCTGTTCTTAATGTCAAGTGTGGCATGCCCAAAACTCGCCTCGCGAAAAGCTGAGTATTCTGGCTGTGGTTCTGTCATGCTGCAAGTGAAAAAAAAATGCAAAATCAGTTTTAGTCTGCTGCTGCAAATGAGATCACATCTCATCAGATCAATGAAGGTATAAACTTGATATCTGAAACAGAATGATATCTCACTTGGTGGCCAAGCCTTCAAGATTTCCTCCATCACCAATTGTGATGTATACTGGGGCAGATTGGTCTCGGACAGGAGTGCATTCCCCGTTTACAATGTTGTACGCCACGTTTGATATGCGCTCCTGCAATATAACATGTAAAACAAGACTGATTATGACAAGTGTTTTCTACTAACAATGAACCTGGTTTTTGTTAGTTTTTCAACATATTAGACAAGGTTTTGTTTAACTTACCGAGCGTTCATAAGCATGAACGTGACCAGCAAAAACAAGGTCGACTTTGTGCTGCACGAACCACGGCTCAAACATTACTCTCATAGTTTCTCCTTCCATATAGTGATAGTTATAGCTGTTGTACCATGGAGAATGCATAAGAACAATCAACCATGGTGTCTCGGTCCTGTTAACTTTTGGCAGCTCCTCTTCAAGCCATTTGTATTGAGGGGTGTATTTTCCTATAAATTAAAAAGCAGGCAAAACAAAGTCAAAAACACCACAATCTTCTCATTATTAAAGCAAATGTATGTTAAAGAAACCAACTTCATTGATCATAATTACCATATGCTGAATATGACGACAGAACTATGATATATGCTGAAGCTCTCTTGATTGAATACCAAAACGTTTCAGTGCTATCTGATGCTTTATAGGGAACATGATACCGTTTAGTAAAAGGTTTAAAGGGTTTAGTTTCGCCCTGCAAGAGATTGACCCTTAGTTATCAGAACATCATGGTAGAACCATCTAAATGATATCTTAGCTAGAGCTGCAAAAGGAATTCTATTTTGTATTATTACTCACAATTTCCGGGGCAAAATCAATCTCGTGATTTCCTGCAGTCCAAATCCAGGGTTGATATGCAGTACTTCTCTCAACAAATCTACCCCATGAATCCCATCTTCTATTATCATGGTTAGGATAATTATCTGCATATGAAAGGTCACCAACAAACAAAACTGTTTGCCCCTTTCTTGGATTTCTTTCATAATGTGTGAGTGTCCTGTTTGAGTCAAAACTCTGTCCAAGATCCCCTGCAACAAAACAGCTCAACAAACATAGTTTCCAACTGATGAAACAACATTAATTTACAACTTCCATCAAGAGATTTGGTAAAGAATGGTTTTACCTATAAGACCAAAAGTATAAGGAACATCAGGCCCAACTTCAGGAGGCGTCGTGAACCAGAAGGTTCGAGTCGTGTTCCCAATCCCAACCTCATAGTAGTATTTGGTGTTGTACTGCCAATTAAGTTAGAAATCAATCAATCCTCCATCACTACACAAGTTTGTTAGCACAAATGCAAAATTCAAAGAAAGTAAAGCAAATGGAAATAAGCACCTCAAGATTCCTAATGGTGCAGTGGTGAATGTAACCAGAAGTATAATTGAAGTATCTATAGGTTCTAATATTCCCTTTGGCCACTTTCTTGTGTTTGCTATTCTCACTCCAGTACAGGACTTTACTCGAACCCGGTTCATCCACAGTCACCCATGACACAATCATTCCTTTCCCCACATGATCTCCTTGTGTGATATGAACCTTTCACAAACCACCCACCATTTCAGTGAACAATAAACAATCCAATTTCCAGATTCTTGAATAGCTAATCTCGATAAACAGTTAAACACAGCTAAAAAAAAACTTAAACTTTGGAAGATACCATAGTTAAGAAAGCAAGAACTCGAATACCCAGACCTGTTGAGGCGCATTATATCCAGGCGGCACGCGGAAGACATCACTGTCGAGCGGCATATCCACAGTTTTCTCCACCTTCCGGACAAAGCTGCTGGTGGTTCCGGCGCTGCACAGAACGGCGGCATTGAGAACCGCCGCCAAAACAACCGCGAGCGCGTAGCATCCACCCATCTTTCTCGTCATTCGCAGCGCACAAAGCTCAACCCTGTCTGAGTGTCTGTCCCTGAGCAGCACACCTGTGTATATATACACCGTATAATACTATTGTAATACCGGCGCGAGCGGGAAATACGGGGAATATCCAAGATTAATATACGAATATGCAGTCCAGTGTCAACAGCTGGAGCGTGTTCGGCACGGATTGAGCTCTGTGTCTTGTGATTTGTGAAGGCAGTGTGGAAAGCATACTTTGCAGAAAATCGTATGAGATTTAAATACAGGGTTGACTGGTGAAGATTGCGGCACAGTAACGGAAGAAAAGAGTATCCCTAGGCCAAAAGCTGATCCATATAGAAAGCCAAGATGCTGATTAATTAATTTTCCAAACTGCCATTTTATGGTTTCCATACTTGCTTAGAGTCACGGGGTGTATGATGAGAAATGAGAATCACAATTATTCCCTCAATCGCATTTTATATAGAAAGTCAAAATAAATTCTTTTATTTCTATATATTTTTTACCATTTTAATTTTAACCTTTTGTTTAAATATATATTTTTTGAATTATATATATATATAATTTCAACTTTTTTTTTAAAAAAATCAAAACGAAAAAAATCCTATATTACAGAAGTTGTTTATGTTAGACTTAAATATATCACATGCATCATAATATGTGACACAGGATCGTACTAACCTCCCGCTATAGTACTTGAGTCGGTGATTGTCGAACGATTCGGACGACTGCAGAGATAACACGAGTATTTTGTCTCTCACTTCTACTCAGCTCTCTCTAGATGCTGTATGATGTGAGCAAAGACTAGTGACCTTATATAACCACCGGTCATCATTATGGTTGTAGGTCTTTAGGTCTCCTAAACCCTAACCAGACTCCTAATCATAATGGTAGTCTAGCTATTAGGTTATTAGTGTTACACCATATATCAGATACTTAATGTTATCATAACTTATGCTAATGTTATAATAATAATGATTAGAGAAATTAAAACGTTACAGTTTATACATTGAAATCTGACCTTCTCGGTCAATAAATAACCATATTATCTTCATTTGTCAATATTTATTGCCATATGAACACTCTTCGGTCAGATCTACAAGTACAAGTGCAACTATTTTTTATTCTTTGCATACTTGTATCACATTGATTTCTTGAGATTTTTGCATCTTCCTCTTACACACCAAAACAAGGTTCAACGATGAGTTCATCGGTTAACAAATTAAATTTTAGTTTTACTTATAATCCATATATTTTGTAAATCAAATGAAATGTCATGAAAAGAAGCATTATAATAGGAGTAAAATTGTAATGTATCATTTCATACGAACCAAAATGAATTAGAGTATTCTTATTTTGGTTTTATTATGTATCGGTTTATAATCGATGAAGATAATGTTGGAAAAATTAGCTTAAAATGGCATATTAAGTGGCTATTTTGTGGTACAATTATCAGTGGGGTCCACTTCCGATTTGGGTCGGGTCAAAGTGGATTCGGGTTCTTCGTAGTGAGACGAAGAGATTGATATATTGTACGCTCAAAACGGATAATGGGTGAATGAGATATTGATTCTCAAAGTAGACCCATTTGAGTTGGGAAATGAAGGGAAAATAGTGGACTTTGTCCCACATTGGTTTGGAAACAAGATTTGCCCCCCTTATATACATGAGCTCTTTTGAAGCTTGTAGAATTGTATAGCATAGAGGCTCTCTCGCGCGGGGGTGCAAATCAAAATTCAACTAGAGGAGATTGAAAAGGCTTGAAATCAAGCCCGAGCTCGCGTGCGCTGGCACCGGGTTCCTTGTTTAGCACAAGGAAAAGAACTTTGTGTTCGAACTCGTGCTAAACCTATACCAAAACTCAACCTTTTCCTTCCCAGTTTTTCTTTTTCCCATATAATATTAATCTTTTCATAGGATTATTATTTTTGGGATTTTTCAACCTTATTACCCAACAGATAATAATTTACAAGACGTGTTGTGACTTGTGTGTATGCAAACTGATTCTCCATGTCTGGTGGAAATATTAATGTAGATCATGACTGAGGAGTTAGGACGGAGAAATAATGAGCTTTACCGAATATTTTTAATTTTTCAATTCCTTACGAAATTGGCGTTGACGGCTGACTTTGGGCTTAGGACAATAGGACCGGCCATATTATTGCATGTGGTCCAATTCAATCGTTATGCCTTGGACCCGTGTCCAGCATGCTTGCTGGACACGGGTAACAGTGCCGTTAGGCACTGTTATTTCCTTTTTTTTTTTTTTTTTTTTTTAATTTCAGATTACTTTGTTATAGAAGTATATGTTCATAATTTTATTACTATATGTTAATAACTATACATTCATAACTCCATAACTGTACGTTCATAACTCTATAACTGTACATTCATAACTCTATAACTGTACATTCATAACGTCATAACTGTACATTCATAACTCCATAATTGTACATTCATAATTTTCGAAGCTCTATGTTCACAATTTTAGAGCTCTATGTTCATAATTTTATCACTATATGTTCATAATTGTAAGTTCATAATGTTAGAGCTCTTTGTTCATAATTCGATCAATAACTGTACATTCATAATTCCATAACTGTAGATTCATAATCTCATAACTGTAGATTCATAACTCCATAACTGTAGATTCATAACTCTATAACTGTACATTCATAATCTTCGAAGCTCTATATTCATAATTTTAAAACTCCATGGTCATAATTTTATCACTATATATGTTCATAATTGAAAGTTCATAATGTTAGAGCTCTGTGTTCATAATTTCATAATTGCATAACTGTACATTCATAACGGCATAACTGTACATTCATAATCAAAAAAAAAATAAAATAACGCCGTTAACGCTGTTAACGGCAAAACACGCGCGAAATTTTTTTTTTTTTTAACTAAATGACGCGTTTTTTTTTAAAAACGACGTTGTTTTGGGCCCGTGTCCACAATTCAATGTGGACACGGGTCCAGAGCATAATTTGCCGGTCCAATTCAGATAAGCTTTGGGAGGAACAAGAATTAAGATTGTGAATCAAAAGTGTGTCTGAGTGGGTGAAACAAATTTTGTGTTTGAGATTATACGTTTGATTATTGTCATATTATTTTGATTGTGTCTTATTATACAGGATTTCTAAAATAAAATACGGGCTATAATTTAATAAGTTGTGAACTAACCAGAGAAGAAGGAGGACTAGAGAGTGAGTGCGAGAATGGTGGGGTGGAAAACGACATAGTGCCGAAGTCCTGCAAAGAAGACAAAACACAAAGGTTCTCACTTCTCAGCCTCTGGTATTGCAATTCACAAATATTTATTAAGATTGAAAACTATACCGACAATTTGTTGGTGGCGTCGTCGTAATTCTTGACTTTGTTCTCTATTTATTTATTTTGTGCTGGACGTCAGTGATGAATAATCAGGAGGTTCGAATTAATTAACCCGATTTAATGAACGAATTATGATAAGTACATATTAAATGAGTAAGAAGATGACGTAACGGAACAAAGGGACGAAATATGTACGAATATAAGTCTCAATTCAAATTATATCATCGATTTGATTTATGTTCTTTTTTAAATCTATTCTAAAAATATAATAAGTCACAATTCAAGTTATATCATTGATTATGTCTCCTTTTATGCTAATAAAGATATATATTTTATTTTAAATATTGTACACTCCAATTTCATTTGACAAAATCGTCTATACTACATTCTTTTTAGAAAAAACTACTCATACACCGTTATAACGTTACTATTTAATTCTAACATTGATAGCTGTATCATTATTATCATTCATTTATGTCTATCATATCTTTTTCATTAAAATTATTATATACATAATTTAACTGTTAATTATATTTTAATTAAATTTATGTAAATGACAAATTATATGTGTGGGTATATCATACATATATATAATGTGTATATACAACTTGAACTATCATTTTTAATTATTTATATTTATCAATGTTTTAATATTGAACATGAATTGTTACGCATTATGCATACAAAATGCTAATAAAATTTATAAAAGTTGATTCTTACACTCATTTGATTCTCTAACCTAAAAATTGTATTTACAATTTGATTGTAAATAATTGGATTCTTGACTATATATCATATTTTATGCAACAACTTTATTCAAGTGTATTATTGCAATATTTTATCACTTTTAAATTTTTTACCATGTGACGTTGATTTTTTTTTTCTTCTTGGGTCACTTTAATGATTGTATACTTTTTAATTTATTATAAAATCATACACAAATCTTTAAAAAGAATAAGATATTAAAATTAAAACTTCATATCTAAAGTTGGGTGATCATAAAATCTTCATAAAGTATTTATTATTAGACAATTCTTTTAGGACTAAAACATTGAGTTTTGTTATTGTCGCATTAGACAGCGATGAGCCTAGCTGCCTAGGCGATGCTCTTTAACATAGCAGTAAAACGTCGTTTTTAGTCATTATTATACGTATTAAAAGGGGAGCGATGTATAAAAGCGACAACATCGACGTCGCTAATTACAAGGTAATAAACAATTAAAACGAGAATTGACTAACCAAATAAACTACTAGGATGAACGCGTCTAGGAGTTGTCGAGTTGACATTCTGAGTGTATATAAAATCAAATCCAAAAGGCCAAAAATCTAGTGGTCAAGCGGCATATAATTCTGATGAGATTGATGCATATAGTTTTTCTAATATAATTTATATATCTTATGTGATTTACGAGTTATTATACAAAAGTAAAATTTATGTAGTGCACACCTTTAAGTTGTGATTGATTTTTCTCGTAACAAAAATAAAAAATAAAAAAATTGTGAAACAATAATTCATTTCAAATTATCTCGCAAATTATGCTGTGCAACCGAATGCACCATGCGCATGATGCATACGATGCAAAACGACGTCGTTTTGGTTAAAAAACGTGCGTCCCACTTAAAAAAGAAATCAGGTTCGATTCCCGGCAATAGCATTTTTATATATCCATAAATTCATAACTATATATCCATAAATTTATAACTATATATCCACAAATTCATAACTATATATCCACAGTGAATGAATGAAGTAAAAATCCACAATGAATGAACTAAATATCTACAATGAATGAACTAAATATCCATAAATTCATAACTATATATCCAGAAATTCATATCTATATATCCACAATAATGCTATTGTCGAGAATTGAACCTAAATTTTTATTTTTTAAGTGGGACGCGCGTTTTTAGTCAAAACGACATCATTTTGCATCATATGCACCATGCGCATGGTGCATTCGGTTGCACAACATAACTATTGAAATTATCTTGGTTGGGCCTCTGCATACATTGAACAAAT